ATTTCCTGAGATGGGACCTCACAGTTGGGTTGCAACCTCATCGTCCTCTTCATACTCACTCGACGAAAACACCATCAGAGATGGTGAGTACGGTATGCCGAGCCACTGTTACTGCGGTGGAAGGGTCATCAGGGAAACGTCTCGCACCGAACAAGACCCTGGGAAAATATACTTCTCCTGCGAATTCCGAGCGGTTAGTTGATAATCATGTCTCCGAATTCTTTCTATTTATGGGTTCTTTTAGTGTAATTCTTTCTAGGGTTTGGGTTCTGTTAGATTCATGGTGAATTTCGTATTTTTGATTGTAGAAACCCGGTTATCATATTCGGAAGTGGTGGGATCGTGTGATTGAAGAGGAGTTAGAAATACTTCACTCTGAAATCAAGCGGGTTTCTGGGGAAGTTGAGAGTCTTCAAACTCACCACCGTGCCGGAATGGAGGAGTTAATCTCGGAGTTGAAGGACGGCGAGCTAACATTCATCATCATGGACATGCGTATTGCGGAGAAACGTATTGCCGACCTGAAGGAAGAACATGAACAGAGCAAAGCGGAGATAACTAGGTTGGAGTTGGTGATTGGTGATTTCAACAAGAAGTACAAAGCTGTGGAAAGCACGTTTGCGATTGCTGCACTTTTCCTTCTTCTTGCTTGGTTCTTAGTTTGGTTTAAGTAACAAAAACCTTCAAATTTTTAGTTTGGTTTTAGTTGCTGCGGATGAAGACCTCTGTTTTTCAAACTATTTAAGAGGTCTTCTTAAGTTGTGTTTAAGATTTGTGTAAACTTTGTTTTGCAAACTATGTCTTTTAATTATGTTTTTAATTATGTCTTTTAGTTATGTTAAAACTTAACTATGTTTGCAAACTATGTCTTTTAATTTTCAATCATGTCAACAACAAATCAAAAATTAAATTCAAACACGAAGTCAAGTTGCAAACACACTTAAACCATCCAAAAACACAGTCGAACCTATGCAAACACAGTTGTACCTATGCAAATTGTTCCATAGTATTACCATTCAAAACACACAGTTGTACCTATGCAAACATAGTTGTGCAGAACTCAAAAAACAGAAATAGTACACAATTCAAAGTCATAAAACATAGAGATAGTACACAATACATAACTTCCTAAACACAGAGAGCCGTCTTCATCCTTCTTACGTGTGTTGTACGGTTTCTTTGCACCTCCTTTCCCTTTTCCACTTGTCTTGCTTTTTCTTTTTCTATTTGCCTGACCAGCCACATATGGAGATGAGAGAATAGCTGAAGGTTTGATTGTCCTCTTCTCTTTCTCTGTTCTGGAGTTTCTTTTCTTCTCTTCTTTGGCGGTTCTGCTACTTGCTCCTCCTCCTCCTCCTCCTCCTCCTCCTCCGCCTCCTCCTCCGCTCTCACTCTATCCCCTGCTTCTTCTTCTCTTCTCGGCCGGAGTCCAAAAAGCAGAACCTAGAGGAAAACTACTTGCTCCGCTTCTATCATGAGCCTTCTTGGTTCTTTGCTCATTCACATAACATTCAACCATATCAAGTCTCTCATCTAAGTCCCCAACCATTGCCTTAATCTCTGAGGTAACATCATCCATCTTATCCTCCAACTTCTTTGTTGCTTCCTCGATCAAAGCTTTCATCGTTTCCATCATTCCCTGAACTGATCCACCGTTGTCAGGTGCCTGCATTGGTACTTCATTTGCAAACTCGGTGATACCTCTGCCGGCCAAGTCAATCTTGTACAGAGACTCCCACCATATCTTCTTCTTCTGGACGATTAGAATGGTCTCTCCAAAGGTCGACTAAATGATCCACGGAGCCAATCCCATCATCACAACTAGGGTCTATGATGCGCTCCATAAGGGTTTCCTCCTCTGAGGTTGGTTCCAAGATGCTTATGATATCCTGCGATTATGAACACATTAAATACACTCATGATAAGCTTGCTCAATTAAGATAAAATAAAGTACACTATATGATGACAAATACTCACCCTATTGCTGCCAATTGCTTCGTTTATCTCGGACAGTGGATAACCTTTCATGTAAGTTGCTTTGAAATTGTGCTTGCACAACCTTGGACAGTCGCTCTCTGCATGAACAGGTTCTCGAAAGGTTTGAGCAAGCGCAGGAATGCACTCAACGCAAAAGCCTGTACATAGAGAGTACTACAATATCACGACCCTATCCATGTAAATTTAAGGAAAATAATTAAAAAATTACCTCAATAGGAAGAGAATGTATCCAGAAAAGGTCCATGAATCCTTCTCGTTGACGACGCCTCCCTTGAACTTCTTCGCTACTTTCTTAACTTCATCTAGCAAATCATCAAAGGTCAAACGGCCCCAAGGGAATTTTTCACACAAGTCCAAATCATCCACGACTTTGAGAAAGAATGGCTCTATGTTTCCTTTATTTGGACTTCGCTTTCAAGACATTGGTTAAGAAATATAGCGCAGCCATCTTCTTCTTGTTAACAGCGCTCTTCACTTTCCCTAGCTTCTTCTTCACATCTGCTATGGTAATATTGGTCCTTCTCTTGAACCACTTTTCAACAAACTTGAAATCGCCGGCTTCCTTGTCCTTCAGCTCCCCATAGTTGCTAGGGTAGTCATGACAATCCAATCCACTCAGCAGCGCATGCTCCTTAATGGAGTACTCCATTAACCACAAACCATAATTCTCTGTCACTATCAGTACAAGCTAGGTGCAGAAGAAGCATCCAAAATCCTTTTGATTTACGGTTTTCCACTAGAGGCATATGAAAGATATGCTTAAACTGAGGATGACTAGAAAACCATTCCAACGCCTGAGGAATTTGCTTGATGTCCTTGACCGTATCATTCACATAACACCTCGATGATATCCTACAACTGTTTCTATACTGATCTGGACAAAGTAAAACTTCTCTGGTGGCAGTGGTATATATTCATCATCAACCTGCCGCCAAGTCAAACAATGTAGTGTTACTAATTATACTTTTACCCGAACCTACTCGAACTTACGAACTTCATTGAAACCATTTGCGGAATTGAATTTCTAAAAATATACATTACCATGACCGGTGCAAAAGAAGAGACATGTGCATCTGAAGGCATTGCTTCAGCGTCTTCTGTTTGTTCCGGTTGAAGTGGTTCTTCCGGGGGTTTGATCCGGTTGAGGAATTTCTTCCTGCTCCTGCTGTTGTGGAGATTGTCGATTTTCCTCGCCATCATTGTCATCATTATCATCATTATCATCATTATACTCCTCATCCTGCATGTTCAAACAAAATTACAGCACCGAAATGTAATTTGCATTGATAACAGTTCAACTATTGTATATTCGAACTTAGTTGAACTTAGTCGAATAGATTACCAAACTCAGAATAATCATTCTCTTCTCTATTATCAAACTCAGAATCCAAGTAAACATAATAAACAAGATTCAAATATTATACCTTGTTCTCTAGTTGGTCACCAGACAAATCCTTGTCCTCTTCTTCTTTTTCTTCTTCGTGCTCTTCTTCTTCTTCCAATTCATCTTTTTTTTCCGATTCATCTTCTTCTGAGTTCATCTTCTCCTCAGTTTGGGCTTCTTCTGCATTGGGATTTGCTTCCTTGGTTTCCGCTTCTCCTGTCACCTCCGTTTCTTCTATCGGCGGAGATTCATTGGTTGAAATCGCCGCTTCTGTTGGCTTCGACAGTTCCGCCTCCGTTTCTTTCGGCCTTGATGGTTCCACCGTTCGGTCATCTTCGACGGTTCTGTCGCCTCAGTCGGCTTCGGCGATTCCGCCGCTTCTGTTGACTTCGTCGGTTCCGCCATTTCTGTGGAGTTCGACGGTTCCGCCGTTTCCGTCGTCTTTGGCGGTTCCGTCGTTACTTTGCTGTTTCTCAAAACCACCATTGCTGGACTTAATTCGAAGCTTCACTCTACAATTCTCCACTCTAGAATTTCAGTATCCGTTGAGATTGAGCTGAGATTCTTCGATTTCCCTTTGTGATTTGAAATTTCTTACACACAACAATTAAAAACCGACATAGTGAATTTAGGGATTTTTACTCTATCATATCCATTAAATTCGGATCGGGTTTGCGGGTTTTCGGGCATAACCCTGGTTCAATTCGTAAATAAGTGAACTTTGCTATTGGTTTTAATGACTTTTACTATTTTTTATTTAAAAAGAAATGGAAAGAAATTAATTTTTAAGTTTTAGCATATGGGCAACCGGTTCAGTGATTGTGGCAAATTAGAATTTCTTTCTAAAATTAGCCTAAGTGATCTCGCTATGGAGCGGTTTGTTTTTTACGGTAAATCATTGTTTCACTAAATTAATTTCAAATTTTGAAACACGAACATGATGCTATTAGAATGTTTTTTTGTGTGAATGCCAACTTTTATAGCCTAAGAGCAAGTGCATTGCACAGTTTTACATGGGTTATTCCTCAAAAAAAACAGAAAAACAAATAATTAGTGATGTGACGCATCGACATAGCGAGCTCAAGGGAAAATGTCTCTGAGGGAAGAGCTCGTGGAATCTGTTCTCTAACACAAGCTCTACATGTGTCGTGACACGATTGGTCCAATTTTTTTTTTTTTGTTTTTTTAATCATGATATTTTTTTCCAAAAAATATTTCTTTTATTTTTAAAGAATATTAGAGAAGCTGTGCAATGCATGTGCTCTAAATGATCTCGCTAGGGACTGGTTTGATTTTGACTTTTTGTATAATTCTAGTATATTTTTTGTTATCGCTATTCATAGTTTCTCAAAATCAACCATACTGTTCACAATTTAGTTTTTATTTTTGGTTTTACTGTTCACAATCAGTTATCTTACCAAAAGAATATGAATCCTGATTAAAAACACTAAAATATCAAATATATTTGATGGAATGAATCGAAAGTCCCAACCATATAAAACATAACGTTTATAAAATAGGGTGAATAACTATAACAATCTTTTATTATGCTCTTAGAGCATGTCCATCGGTAAGACTATATACCAGTCCCTCATAATTAAAAATAAATGAAAAAGATAAAAAAGAAAGAGAGAGAATGTGTAAAAGGCTGGGACGTCTCTCGTTAGACATACTCTTCCAACAGTACAAGAGACCCAAAATACATGTGTCATTATGTGTGTGGATTATATATTTAATTATAAATTTAAATTAAACTAATATAATAATTTTGTGATACTCTATTTATGGGTCTCACCGATGGACATGCTCTTATTATTATAACAACTCAATGTTTTTTTAATTACTAAAAATAGTTTCATACATTTTTTATCTATCTTTCTTTGTATTAAAAAAAAACTATTTACAAGATTGTCATTAATGAATTTTTGCCATGTCATCGTCCGCGGAATATTAAATCTACCATACGCTTCATGGTAGATTTAATATAGAAAGGTAGATATATTTCATTACACAGTAGATTTATATGGAGATGGTAGATTTATAACATTTTTCGGAGATTTATAAAGAGTGCAGTAGACTTACATAATATATAGTACTGATAGAGTTGCTAGCCTACGGTGGAATTATGAAAAGGATAGTAGATTTATGTTTTAGTTATGGTACATCTTTTTAGATGTGGTAAAATTTTGTTACGAGTGGCAGATTTAAATAGCGCTCGGTAGATTTATCAGTCGAAAGTTGTAGATTTATTTTGCTTAATGGTAGATTTATAATCTTCCAGTAGATTTATTCGCGGTGACAATAGACGTGTAGTTATGGTAGATTTTGTAGTTATTGGTAGATAAATGGACTTGCGGTAGATATATTTTGTTTGATGGTAGATTAGCTTATATAAATCTAATCATAACTATGATACAATAGATTTATTAAGGGTTTTGTGCAAAAAAACCAGGCAACTAAATTAATTTTGCAAAATTAACCCTCACTTTTTTTTCTGTGCAAGTTAATCCCTCCAACTCAAAAGTCACCCGCTAAATAACCCTTTAGTATATTGTCGACGTGTTTCTTTTTTGACCTTGTAAAAACCACCAAACACTACGTTTTGGACATCAAAATGGGACACAGGTTTGGTCGCGATGCCGTTTTCGGACCAAAGTAAAACACATGAAATGAAATTGTCACAAGGTTTCATATTGGGCAATGTTTTTAAACCCGGACCGGACCGGTGGTCCGACCGGGTTCAACCACGAACCGGGAGAAGGAGCGGTTTGGGTTGCCATTGAAAACCAGTGGTAGTTGAACCGGAAACAACCCAGATTCGACCGGCTGAAAACCAGAAACCAACGAACCATTAAACCGGATTAACCCGGGTTTGCAATTTTAATATTAATTTTTCTTTTGTTTTTGAATTAAAACTATGATGCCAAAACGGTGTTGCTGAGGATCGAACTTAATACCTCTAAATTGTACGAGAAATATGATAACCACTGGACCACATCAACTTATTTAACCATTGTCTTACGTTTTTGTTTCTTATACTTATGTTTGTTAAGGTGAATTTGATATATTCTTAATATATCACAGAACCTGGTCGAACCGGGTTGACCCATGACCCAAAACTTTTACGGTTCGGTCACTGGTCCGGTTTTAAAAACATTATTATGGGGGAAAACTAAAATCGATTTGGAGAAAATCCATATTAGGGTTCTTGGAGTTGGTGATTGATTTTCTGCGATTTCTACTTACTGATGAAGCTTATTGTTGTCTCTTGAGGTCACGTTCTCTGTCTGCGATCTCTGCTTCGATCAATGCATCTGGATTCGTCTCGATGACTGCGTGGAGTATCGGATTGAGTTTGGAGATTGCTTCGAAAATCAACGAGCTGCTTTGATGCCGGTTTCTTTTCCTTGAAAGCAAGTCTAATGTCTTCAATGGTGGCTTCTTGGATGCAGAATGTTGAGTTTGGATTGAAGTGGGAGGGAGACCCATATGAGGAGAAGAAGAAGAAGAAGAAGAAGAAGAAGAAGAAGAAGAAGAAGAAGAAGATGAGGAGTAGATGAAGAGCAGAGCAATCATGGCTAAAGAGAAAGTAGGAGAAAGTGTCAAGCAATGAGAGAGATAACATTAAGAGGTGAAGAAAGAAGATTTGAGTTATTTTTCAACGAGAGAGAATCCCATGCCCGTCTGGAATTACATTGAGCGACAACTTCGTGAAGCTGGTGTCGTGGTATGACAACGAATGGGGTTACAGTACCCGTGTGGTCGACTTGATCTTTAAAACTTTTTAGTTGGTTTTGGGATTTCTCGTTCATCGCGACGTGATGGGAGTTTGTAGACCCGTTGTTGTTTTTAATGAAAGCCACTTCATGTTTCGTCTTTGATATATTGAGTTATGGTTTTATCACACTCCTTCTCTTTTTATCCCCATTAACACCTGAAAACAAAGCTAAACCTTAAAACGTTGTTCGTGAATCACATATTTCATTACTAGATACAACTCCATTTAAAGTAAAATGGAATTGCTCAAATATGAGTAGAATTGTAGTCATTCTTACTTGATTAGAGGTATTATTGGTTGGCTTATCGTTGGGTATCAGCTTGAAATCTGGTGCAATACTTTTTGGTATTATATGAAAGTGTTACCAGTTCCATACGGTGTGTTTCTTAATGCACATTTTCCTGTTACATTAGTGTATATATTCCTGTCGTGAACGAAACTGCAACATTGTTCTTTAACAAAAAAACAGAAACTGCAACATTGTTTCTGTTTCCGTTCCATGTGTTCGCTTGCACAAAGCAGAGTTCTCTGTTTCTTGTCGTGAAAAAAACAGAGTATTTATCCAATGAATCAAATAACAACTTAAAAAAATGTTCTTCATCAAGCAGGACATTGAAATTCTTCAGCCCTCTCAAGATCATCTGTAATTTCTTTGTTTGAGAATACTTTTCTCCCGAAGAATAAAACTTCACCAAACCATCATCGGTCTCAATCCAACTAAAACCTGCTTCTTTCTTAAAACCAGTGTCTCTCATAGAAACTTTTAGCCTCGCATCATCAGCAAACCTCCCGATATCTCCATATATGTTCGAAAGCATCACAAAATTAGCATGGTTCGATTGGATAGTAAATCCACCACACAACCAAAGTTTTCGATTTCAGGCATGATTGAGAAATCAGTAAACATGGAACTGAAATAAGTCAAGCCATCTTCTATCTCGCCCAATTAACCACGATTCCACTTCCCCAAATCAATTTTAAGAGGAGAAACGGTCAAATAAATTGCCAAGAACCCTAAATTTTTTCCCCCAAATAGATTTTAGTTTTCCCCAATTCAAAACCCGACAACATTGATTTACACTTGATTTAGTTTTGTCCAAAAACAACATACAGAAAGAAAAACAGCGTCCCGTTTTACAGTCCAAAACGCAGAGTTTTGAGTTTTTTTTCGCGGACAAAAACGAACCACGTCGACAATATGGCGAAGGGCTGTTTAGCGGGTGACTTTTGAGTTGGGGGGATTGATTTGCACAGAAAAAAGGTGAGGGTTAATTTTGCAAAATTAATTTAGTTGCCTGGTTTTTTTTGCACAAAACCCATTTATTAACTATGATGATAGATTAAGTAACATGTTGATTGTTGAAAAACCGTTTTAAACTAACAATGACGATAGATTTATGGTCAAATGGTAGAGTTATATTGAAAAACTGTGGAGAACGGTAGATTTATGATAGAAATTGAAAAAAGTTGTTGGTTTTAGAGTTTAGGGTTTAGGGAATTGCTGTGAAATGCCATAATACACATTTGATTTTTCTTTAATGAGTGGCAAACTGTAATTACCCCTTCGTCTTTCTCTTAGGGTTTTTGAGTTCTGCAACCTTTGCGACCGTCAGCCATATTTTTCATCAAATATCTCATTTTTTTCCGTTTTTGTTTATTGGTTGAACCTCAAACCTGTAGATCTATCAGATTCTAATATATTTCAAGCTAAAAGAACAAGAAAACTAAGTTTTTTTTTCATTATTCTAAATAATTGACTGTTAATCACGGCGCTGGTGAGCCGTCGACGTTTTAATCGCCGGAAAATCGGCAACAACAGAACACCATTCTCGAAACACTGCATGAATGAATCGAAAAGTGTTTCTTTGATTTAAGGATTTCTGCCGAAAAATGAAGGAGAAAAAACTGAAATTTCCGGACAGCATCGAAAAGGATTTCTCGTCCATTTTTAGGGTTTCTCAACAGAACGGGAAAACAGAAGATTTTGTTAGAAAGAAACTGAAAAACAAGTTACTTAGATGAAATTGAAATGTCAAAATTGTAAATCTATATAATTGAAAGGGCTTGTGACATTCTCCAGCTGATGACACATCAGCACTCCCAGAGTGTCACGCCATCTCTTTTTTTTTTAACTCCCGTTTGACTCCAAAACGACGTCGTTTTGTCCCCTCCTCTGTGACTCCAAAACGACGTCGTTTTGATTTTATGTTTTATAGAGCAGAAGGTTCCGTCTTCTCGACTCCCTCCTCTCTTCTTCCCATCCGGCTCACGATGTCGCTTCAGTCCACATTCCGCGCATCGCAACAGGAGCAAAAGGCGCCGGCGTTGTCGTGCTTCTGCTCGACCAAAAGGTATGTGCTCCACGAAAGAACCTTTAACTCTATCTAAATTCTCTTCATTTCTCTCTCTCTCTATACATTTCTTCTGACTCGATTCGGTTTGTGAATTTGTGATTGAGCATGGAAGCAACAACAGAGGAATCAACGGGTATAGCTATGACGATAATGATTGACCAAACGTACGAGTTCTTACCCTCGTGAGTTTCTTTGCTCTCTTTTTGTTTTTAGTTTCTAGATCCTAGGTTTTGGAACAGATTGGGTGATTATTGTTATCAGATATGTGGTTTGGATATCGGAATTTGGTCTCAGTTTCGTGGATTTAAATCCGATTAGTGATAATTAGGGTTTACTGATATCTGTTGTGAGAAGCGAAATTAGCTATTGCACGTTTAAAACAGTCTCTCCATTGCAAAAAAAATAATCTTTGATTGATTGAAATCTGAAAAAGCGGAAGGAAGTTAAGCTTTCTTGCGTGACTGTTATGTTTTAGTTATGTCAAGAATCATAGAATTAGGGGAAAATATGGTAATTTGTGCGCAGAATCAAAATGAGTTTGTGTTCAAAGTTGTATTCAAGTTATCCTTTTGTGCAGCTTCGGTTCCTAAAATCAAAGCGAGGAGATCATTTAAGGTTGAGACCATGTGCAACTTCGATGCAGAGGAAGAAGAAGAAAAACCCCACAAGGTTTGCTTCAATCAACCAATCATTTGACCATCATTACAAGCAAGAAAGTTTTGATAATCTTTTTAATTTTCTGATTATTCGCATTTTGCAGGACAAAGAGCCTTCAGAACCTATAGCTCCAACTATTTCTTCACAACCGGAGCCTAATCTCTCTGAGGCCAAGCAAGAAGAAGTTAGTCATACTGAAGAAAGAACAATTAAGCCATCATCACACAATGCATGCATTTTCTACATACCTGGAATCAACACACTTTGCTGCAGTCCTGAAGATTAAGAATACTATCTACGGGAAATGTGACGCGAGCCTTCGTCGGGTCCTCCTTCTGAAGAATGTTATGTATATGATTATGAGGACATGTAGGCGGAGGAAGCTGCAAATAAGAGCTGTGTTCACCATGTTAACAATGGTGTTTCTCTAAATGAGGTTTGTGATAAAAACAGTCATGTCGATGGTGGAAATAATAACGGGGAGGCTGAGTCCACTCGCGTAATCTATGTCCCATCTCCAAAAGTGACTTACTTGATATGGTTCTGTTTTGAAATCTTTTGTCAGTATGATGTGCTGGAATTTTGTTTATTTGAGACAATTACTATGTAGGTATCTAGAGATTGGTGCTGTGGCAACGTTACGGTATTTTCGGCCTAATTTTGGTGACCGAATGCTTTGAAGGATTCAGAGCCTGATGTGAAGTCTGCATAAAGAGCAGTGGGTATAACTGGAAGTATTGCTGAGCAGGATTTATATTTTGGGTTCCTCTTGATTCTCCAAGATTTTGCTGAGCAGCTTATCGACGCAGTTATAGCAGAGGTTGTTACTAACTAAATTTATCTTCTTCATGACTTTTGACTCTTCTGGGTTTTTTTTTTTTGTGTGTGGTCTTCACTCTTCTCTAGACACTGTCTCTGGATGAAACTTCGTTACAATAAGTATTGGAGAATCAAGAGGAACCCATGGAAGAAGAAACGGAGAAACCATTAGCTCCGAAAGATGGTGAAGCTCTTATTGAGGAAGTTCATGCCCCAACTGTGATGCAGTAACCTCTCTAAACATGAACGTGTTTCTGAGTCAATGTTTTTTGAATATTTTATTTGGAAGCTTGATCAGATTTATTAGTAAACCTCAGGATAGGAAGAGAACCAGCTTAAAGGAGGGAAATGAGATATGATATGAATGTGCTCAAATTCTAATGTAGGATTCTAATGTATGAATGTAGGATTCTAATGTATGAATGTAAATTATAATGTGCTCCTGACCTGTGTTTCTAGTATTATAAATGTAAACACGCAAACCTACTTTATTTCTTTTCGTTTGGTTAGTGAAATTACTCCTTCTTTTGCATTCCCTTAAAATAGGCTTAAATTCTGTCATCCAATACCTCCTCCTAAATTATTTAAAATTTAAACAAATAAACTATTATAGGTATAAGAATAACTTAGCATTAACCTATGTTCAAAATCTCGCTAGGTGTTACCAGGGCGCTCGGTCCGGGAGTAGCGACTTTTGCAAAAGTCGGAAAAAACTCGGAGAGTACTCGGGATTTTATTTTGTATATTTATTTTCACTAGATTATATATAGTTATAATATGCGTAAGAAACGTGAAGATATGGTTTAGTTCAGTGGTTCTCCTTACTAATTATCCCTCACATGCCGCAGGTTCGACTCATGGTAGATGCGGTTTTATTATTTTTCTTATTTTATTAAGTAATGAAGGTAAATGACGAAAATATCCTCTTCTTCTTCCTCACCTCTATGACCAAGAAGCCCTAATTGCCGCCGATTTCGTTATTTTTCTCCAATTCTTGACGTTTTTGCTCGTTTTTGTCATGTCTTATACCTTATAACTATAGATCTACTATCTACTATGTCGTTTTCAACTTTAAATCCAGAAACTGAGGAACTTTTTTTTTAAGTTTCAGAGTTTGTGACCGAGTAACGTAAAACGCCACGGAGCTCACCTTCCAGCGAGCAATCGGCCGAGGAATCGCCTGGAAGGCCGAGATTTAGAACACAGGCATTAACTATATAATTTTATAGAGCTAAAACTGTCTTTAGTGTTTATTATGTAAACTTTGTTTCCCCATGGATTTCTGAGTTGTAGAAGCAGAGGCTGTTGATAAAAAAAAAAAAAAAAAAACCATAATACTATAATTCTATTTTTATGAAAATTTGCTAGCAATCAAATTCTGAATCCGATAACTCACATGTCCAAGAAAATGACTGTACCTCACTATGGTCAATGATTTTAAGATAGATTTATTTACATCAAAATTAAATTATCAAAAAGAAACACAACATTCAGTAAATTAATAACTAATAACTGCACAAAACACAAAAATGTTTTCAAAAATCAAAAAAAAAAATTAAAAGTATTTTAAACAAATAAAAACCAGTGCATTGCGCGGATACTCTCTAGTATATATATTGAAAAGTAAAAGATATTTTTCTTCTAAAATGGCATAAGTGTAAATACAGTATAAACTCTATAAATTAATACTCGATAAATTAATAAACACGATAAATTAATAAATTTTTCTGGTCCCGAGTTGGGCCAGTGTAAAATATGACACAATTCGATAAGATAATAAGATAATAACTTTTTTTGAAATCCTATGTAAAATATGGTCCCAATAACATCATAAATTAATAATTATTTTTATTTTAATATATATACACCTAAAATATCTAACTACTAAAATATGAAATCTCTCAGACACCAAACATATGGAAATTAAAAGCAATAAAAGAATTTTAAATAATATGGCAAGTGAGAAAATGTAAACAATAAAGTAAATATAGAAACATGTGAAAATAATTAAGGAAATATAAAATAATGATTTTTTTTTTTTTGGAAAATAGTTTTAGTCAAAATCTATATATTAATAACTCTATAAATTAATAAAATATCAAAGTCCCGACATTATTAATTTATAGAGTTTCTACTGTACAAGAACTTTTCATCACTTTTTTCATATTGGATTTTAATTGGATCTCTTAAAGAATTATTCTAGTTACTTTACCATAATAAAAAATTGTTATACTCATTATCTCATAAAAATATTATTTTTTGTAAAACGACGCTTTGACTGAGAAAATCAAACTATGGAAATGAATAGATCAAAAAGTTGGAATTCCAAAAGAGAGGTCAGCGGTCATGAACCGCTGGATTGGTTTAACTTTGACCTTTTCATTATTTGATTAGGTGGATGGATTGGCTTACAATGATTTTGAATTAGGTACAGTCCTTAATGATTATGAAATCGACTCATGAGTTAACGGTTAACCGGAATTCTGCAATGTATTCTTTTCTTTTTTTTTACATTTGAGGATACGCCATTTCATATAAGAGGTAGATAAAATTATTAAGGAATAGTAAAAATAAATAGTTTAAGTCAAGTTGTAAAAATTTAATCTCAACAGCCTTTTTCACCGAAGTTTGATTTCATTTTCCGCAGAAGATTGAAAAACAAAAATCTAATGGACTTCATTTACAGAAAATAAAAACCCAAAAAAATAGATAGATAATTCTCTTATTATATGTAACACTAGGAGATGACCCGTGCTACACGCAGGTTGTGTTAGTTTTATTGCTTTTCCGCAAATTTAACATTGTCTCAAAGATATTATACACATATTATTTAAATATAATTAGAGTTAGGCAAAAAATTTGTACCATCTTGTTCCATTTCGTCCCATTTCATTTATTTTTATCATGTACGTACTTTCTCGTCTGTTCGTCATATATGTCCCCTTCCGTTCAATCCTATCCAGTGTTTTTAAAACCGGACCGGTGACCGAACCGGAAATGTTTTGGGTCATGGGTTAATATGGTTCGACCGGGTTCGACCTGGTTCGATGATTTTAAAAAATAATATATATAATTTTATAAATTTTATATATGAATATATCTATAATATTTAAACAGTATAGAAATATATATAAATTTTAAATATCAAATAAATTATTTAAAATTCATAATATTTGAAAATATTCTTTAACAAAACATTCTGAAAAAGTTAAAATTATCAAATAAAATAGAAAATTTATTGTTTAATTAGAAAACCGGGTTCAATACGGTTCAATGGGTCACCGGTTTTTGATTTTTTGTTGGTCGAACTCGGGTTTTTAACCGGTCTAACTATCTATGGGTTTTAGTAGTAACCCAACCCGGAGATGCTTCTGGTTCATGGTTGAACCCGGTCCATCCACCGGGTCGGTCCGGGTTTAAAAACACTGGTCCTATCCTATCCCATTATGATTCTTTCCTTTTTGTTTATTATTGTCTCGCTCCCTTAATATAATTATTGGTAGACATAATTCTATCACATTATGTTCATTTTCATCTTGTCATGTTCTTTCCCATCCCGTTCGTTCTGTCCGCCCCCATCCAGCCCCATCATATCGTATTATGTTCATTTCCATTTTGTCTTATCTCTGTCTCATCTCTAAATATAATTCGGGGTAGGCGAAATTTCCGTCCCATCCCTTCCCGTCCTATTATATCCTTTTTCATCTCGTCTTGCCCAATCCCATCACATTCCATTTCTTTTCATTTTGTCCCGTCCAACATTTCTGTCTTGTCCTCTCTCATCATGTTTTTTTTTCATTTTTTCCGTTCCACCCTTAAATATAATTAGAGGTAGGCCAAATTTCCGTTTTGTCTTATTCCGTTCTTTTCCGTTCCTTTAGATCTCGTCTAGTCACTTAATATCATAAGAAGTAAACAAAATTCCCTTCTTCTCCGATTCTATTTTTTTCATCTCATCATATTCAATCTCATTTTTTTTCATCCAAAAACACTATAGAAAAAAACAGTGTTCTTTGTTTCTTTTTCCAATCTTGTTTCTTTTTTTCCTGTTATTATTATTAAATAATTTTTTTTTTAACATTTATACATAATACTTCTTTTCTTTTATTAAAATAACTCTTTAAATTCTTGTAAAAACTATTGTACTATTTAGTGATTATATTAATAAATGATCACAAATAATTAAAATATAAAAAGAAAAAATATAATAAACTAAAACTAATAAATATAATGATGACGTATGTGGATTGGTGAATTTAGAGGCAACCTCTATTAATGAAGTGTCACCAGAATTGTATCAATTTTATATATATAGATAATCTGATACTGTTCCAAACTTCCAACAACCAAACTCGAAGAAAATCCATTTACTTTATTTGGTAAAAATTAATTCAAAATGTTAGTATAAAAAACAAATTTTCGTAGCATATATCCGATTTAATACATCAAAACAGACAACACTGCAAATCCATTAAATCAAATGAAGTCTGTATTGGATATTTGGATATAATATAAACAAGACAACATAGCGAAACTTATGGATGGATAGATTCCAATTAACAAAACATACAATCCAAATCCATGATAAACTGAGTCTGTCGGATTTAGTTGCCTGACCATTTCAACAAGCTTCTACCTTTTTTTATGCAGACATTTTGCATGAAAAAATAAGAAGACTTGTCAAAAGTTACAAGGGCCAACTACAGAGGATAGACTATATTATATACATACACAATAATACTCATCATGTCATATCAGAGGTAAGAGACATAAGACAAATTTTAGAGGGGTATTTTCGTAAAAGCAAGGTTCTCGAGTCTCGCTCCCGCTCCGCTCAGGTGTGTAAGCAAGCCTCCTTCACTTTCTCCCTTGTGTCTGCGTTTTTTTCGCAAACCCTAAAACAGCGGACATCGTTGAAATCGAAGCTGTAGCAGCTTTTTTGAAGACTTTTCCCGGAAAAATTCAGCTGGGTAAGTTGGTAATCCCTTATTTGATTTTAGTCCTTGGATTTTGGGGTTTAGAGGTTTTCTTGTAGTCTCAATTCAGTAAATGGAATCGCTTTCGTTTTATTTGGAATGCTTCTTCTCTTTTGGATTTAGTACAGTGAAATAGAATCATGTGGATTCCTCCTGTTTCTTGTGGAATTGGTCTCTCGATTTGAGAGCATTTCAATTAAGTAGAGAATTTGTTAATTCAATGTTCATTTCGTTTACTTGCAAAGTCATTGGAATTTATGGGAATCATTTACTAAAAGGAAACTCTTTAATTTCCCTTAGGGCTAAATCGTTGAGATTACTTCCTTATGGAGGAGGAGGAAGAGGTTGTGATGGCTGAGAATGGTAGTTTAGAGTCTCAAGATGACAGATTCTCAGTCCAGATTAGTGATGTTCTTAAAGAGAATGAGAATCCAGATGTTGATTTTCTAGAGGATTTAGATTCTTACTGGGAGGCTATAAACGATCGCCTGACCATCTCCCGAGTTGTGAGTGACTCGGTTATGAGGGGAATGGTTACTGCAATTGAGTCTGAAGCTGCTGAGAAGATTGCTCAGAAAGACCTTGAATTGTCAAGAATTCGGGAGACTCTGTCTCTGTACCACGTGGGTTCTGAAGAAAATGAAGCCTCTTTAAGCAGCCTTAAAGGTGAGGCGAGAAAACAGTTGGTGATGCTCGTTGAAGAGCTCGCCAATTTGAGAAAGTATATTCACATCAATAGAGAAGGCGCTACTGAGGATGATACTCTGAATGAGTCCAAAACTGTTGATAAAATGCTTGATTCCTTGAAGAGCATTCTAGAGACTGTGTTGAAACGGAAGAATGAAATGGAAGTCCCTTCCTCGTGGCAGCAAGAGCATGATTTTATCAAGGAAACTGAGTCTGCAGTGCTGACTTGTTTCGTTAGGAGTCTCAAGGATGAGTATCAGCAGAGACTGTTGGAGAAAGAAGCTGAATTTAGTGGTGGTGGTGATAGAAGTTTGGTGCTTGGGAATATCAAGGAGATTACTGGTCTGCGCCAGGAATTGGAGCTGATTCGTAAGTTTCTTTTGGATAGTGAGAACGGTGAAATCGAGAGAGGGGAGGTAGGAGACCGGAAACGAGTGGTGCAACTGCACCGGAAGATGTCAGGAAGCCTCAACTCAGCTTCTTCACTCTGTGATACAAATGGTAAGCATGAAGAGAGTTCTGAGGTTTTAAAACACTTATCACAGGATGATTTGATCAGTCACTTTAAGACGGAGATGAATAAAATGAAGATAGACCATGATTATAAGATACAAGAGATCACAGAACAATGTTTTACCTTTAAGCGGAAGTACTTGAATTTAAAGGAAAGAGGTTCTTTTTCACCTGTGGGGAAAGATAAGGAGCTAGAGGCGTTGAAAAGGAAGATCCCGTCTGTTATTTCGAAATTGGATAAGATTTTATTGCAAGATGAAAAGTTGGTGTCTGAAGGAAAGAACAATGCTGATTTTAAGAGCCGGTTGGATTCTCTTCTTCAGGAGAATCGTCAACTGAAAGATTCACTTTCAGACGCTGCTGTGAAGATGTCACAGCTTTTAGAAGCTGAGGCAGATCATCAAAAGTTGATTCGAAAGCTTGAAACAGATGTTGAGGATTCTCGTGTTGAGGCTTCTATCTACGAAGATGTTTATAGCTGTTTTGTGACTGAGTTTGTGGGCCAGATTAAGTGTGAAAAACAGGAGACAGATTTAGAGCACAGTATGATGAAAGAAGCATATGAGTTGGTATTGGAAGATCTTGCGAGTAAACAAGAACGTGAAAGCAAGGATGAGTTCGAAGACTCTTGTGTCGAATCCTTCATGATGGAAGAGTGTTGTGCAGTCGTATACAAAGAAGCCTTGAAGGAAGCTGATAAGAAAATCGTAGAGTTGAACATGCATGTAACAGAAAAAGAAGAAGCTCTGAGATCAGAGATGGTTGACAAGGAAAGACTGAAAGAGAAGATTCATTGGCTGGAGTGTCTCGTCAAGGAGAAGGAGGATTTAACCAAAACAGCCGAGATTAACTTGGCCACAGAGAGAAAGAAACTTGATCTAGTCTCTCACCAGATCAATGATCTGAAATCTCGGATAGAGCAGCAACAAGCAGAGATTCAGGATAAAAACGAAGCACTGGGACTTGTTTCGGCACGCGAGATACAGAAAATAAAAGGTTATGAGACAAAGATATCCGTTTTGACACAAGAGCTTGAATTAGCAAGAGAGAATCTGAAGAAAACCAAAGAGAAGTTAACGGGGACAGAAGCAGAGAAAGAGAAGCTCAAGAAGCACCTTCTGTCTCTGGACTTAGTTCCTCCTAAATTGGTGCAAGGTTTCAACTCTCTCGAGGACTTGGTAGTAGAAAAGACGCAAAAAACAAATTCAAGGTACTCTACTCTCTCATTGCTTTAATTTGCTTTGTACATGGATACGCAAGTACTGTATCCATTGATTCAGTAGCATGAAGATAGTAATGTTTACGATAACATTTTGGCTCTTAGGCTGAAAGACATGTCCAGTCAATTGCGTGATCTGTCACATCAAATGAATGAACTCAAGGGGAAAGCATCAATGTACAAGCAACAATTCGAGAAGAAGTGTTGTGACCTCCAAAAGGCCGAGGCTGAGGTGAGTCTTGATCGCTTTATGCATCCAAGGCTTCTTTTATGCTGCTCTATAAGCTTATTCAGTAGATGTCTGAGAACTGTGTCCATAAACTCTACAATCTGTAGCTCAAAGCATTCATATTTCTTTTAAGTAGAAGAAGAAACTATTGTTGAACTAAAGAATGATGTTAATATGGCTGTTGAATCACAGGTTGATCTTCTTGGAGATGAGGTTGAATCTCTTTTGGATCTGCTTGAGAAAATATATATAGCTCTAGATCATTACTCTCCAATCCTAAAGCATTACCCTGGCGTAAGTGCACCCTCTGTAACTATACTCTTTCTTTTTACATGAATATTGTTTTTTTTTAAATAAGAGACAATGTTTGTGACCTTGCAGATCATTGAGATCTTGAAGCTTGTCCGGAGAGAACTAAGCGGAGAATCAAAGAGACTATCAGATTGATAAGTCCGATCTCTATCTTCCACACTAGTTTATTTAAGTTCTTTTGCTGTACAGATCTCTCAGGCTTATTTGATGCTGTTGATGTTTAGTGCCTACGAGTCTTTTCTTTTTTCTTTTTGTTCAGTAGATAAGGTTTTAGCAATGTACTATAATCATCAACTAAAATGAGATGTTGGATCAATGGATCATTTTTTATTTATTTTATAAAACAATCCCTGAGAAGTAACAACTTATAAACAAATATATTGAACTTACAATAAGAACTGGGACCTAATCTGCAAAAGACTTTTCCAGTTCCGTAGCCACTGTATAATGATTCACTTTGTGATTCATCAAAATAGATTTCACCAAAATTATCAGTGACAAACTAAACTAGGCATGAAAATTTTGTTCTTAGCAAAAGTAAGCACAAACAAATCAGTTCAAAATTACTTGATTATGGAAACGATGGGTTGTGTGGCACTGGATCATCTTGTGTCAGGGTTGGTCTTGCTCAGTGCGGTTTGGTTTTGATTGACCAAATGTTGGAGTCGGTTTAGATGAACCTAAATGGTCTCGCCCAAAGTCTCCTCGACCTCTATTACTCTATAGCTTAACATTTAACACAAAACACACATAGGTTGCGGCTGCAGACATGTTGGCATAATGAAGGCATGACTTGTGGAGCTGACGTGTCGATCTCGGCATTATATCACCGCTCCAATATTCTTGCAATATTAAAACTTCTCAACATTTTCTTGATCCTTCTTCTTCTATCTTTTGTCTAAGACAAGAGAGACACAGCAGAGCAAAACTAATATCCCTTGCAATGAAGGATGCAACCAAGGTTCTTTCTTCTGAATTTGTTTTGCTTTAATTTCTAAGGACTTTCCGTGTCGCTGAAGCAAACTTAGTTTATAGGTTTTATTGTTTGTAATCTCGTTCTTGATAACACTTACTGCAGAACTCAACTTACAGTCCCGAGGAACCACTTCTGCATGCGGTCAAGGTATCAATGATTTAAGTTCACCGACAAATATGGAGTTTGTAAAGCTCTGTTTCGTTAATACTAATAACTTATGATCATATTCTTTACTCAGAAGCGAAGATCAGCTAGTGGAGATCTCAAGAATGCCGTGAAATTCCAGGTACCACATCTCTTTCAAATTTTGTTACCTATCGATCAAATGATATTTTGACTTGATGCTTTTGTATATAACCAGGAAGAAGATGATCTATTAGGTGTAGAAGAAGAAACACCTGATGATGATGAAGAAGAAGAGCAGGAGGAGAAGGAGGAAGAGGAAAGATATTGTGAACGTGGGTTTGGTCATGGATACCATCTAGTGAAAGGCAAAATGGGTCATGGCATGGAAGATTACATCGTAGCTGATACAAAAACGGTCAAGGGCCACAATCTTGGGTTATACGCTATATTCGACGGCCACTCAGGCCGTGATGTTGCCGGTTACTTGCAAACCCATCTATTTGATAACATCTTGAGTCAGGTTTCAAAACAAGAATCAATATGGTGTCCATTTGATAACACTCTATTGCTTCTAGTTCCATAACACTCAATATCATTGATTGGTTGTTGTTTTCTTGAAGCCGGATTTTTGGAGAAACCCTAAGGAGGCAATCAAGAAAGCGTATAAATCTACGGACGACTACATTCTCCATAACGTGGTAGGTCCACGAGGTGGCTCGACGGCTGTGACGGCTATAGTCGTTGACGGTAAGAAACTTGTGGTTGCAAACGTTGGAGATTCAAGAGCAATCTTGTGTCGTAAAAGTGGTCTAGTCAAACAAGTTACGGTTGATCACGAACCTGAGAAGGAGAGAGACCTTGTCACGAGCAAAGGCGGCTTCGTCTCCAAACAACCAGGTCAATATTTATCTAACATACTAATCAAACTTTTTTATTGACATAATATAATCCTATGATTAGGGAATGTTCCGAGAGTGGATGGACAACTATCTATGTCGCGTGCATTTGGAGACGGAAGGCTTAAAGAGCATATCAGTGTGAGACCGGACATAGAGATTGTGGAAATCCTCGATGACACAAAGTTCTTGATCTTGGCTAGCGATGGACTATGGAAGGTTTGTATTGTTCCAAGAAAAGAAAAAGCACTAATAATTGATCCAAAATCCATCCAAGAATTGGACTAAATCTTGAACTCTAATTATTGATCCAAAGTCCATCCAAGAACTGGACTAAATCTTGATGGGTTTCTCTATCAGGTAATGTCAAACAATGATGCTTGGGATCGAATCAAAGAGATTGAGGATGCAGAGGAAGCAGCAAAAGCGCTAACCGATGAAGCTTTGGCTAGAGGAAGCAAAGATGATATCTCTTGTGTTGCTGTTTCTTTCAACTAAAACCAAACTTAAGTATTTCAAACAAACAAACATTGTTTTTTTCATTTATATTAATGTATTAAGTTTCTGAGTCGAATCGAATCGCAGGTTACACATATTAATGCTACAAAAATGGGTAATGAGACCCCTCCAAAAATCACAAGGATTCAGGACTAGTGGAAGGTCTTATTCTGGAAGGCATTTTCATAAGTCTGTCTCTTTCCATATTGTTCTTGAAAGAGTGCTTTGGCGTTATGGACATCTTGTTCATGGCGTAGTCAATATCACCGTCATTCTCTTCATCACTATCCTCATCCCCGTTCACAATGATCTCAGCATCATCATCATCATCTTCATCTTCTTCATAGGTCGCTCTCACCATTGCCCAGTAGTTGAAGTTCGGGGATATAGCGCTTCAAGATCAGCCAAGACAATGCAAACACATAAGAGTCAAAAGAGAGCACATAACCACCATTTTTAAGATCAGAGCACGAAAGTAAAACCTGTTAGACATTTTCAGCAAGATAGGATCAAACGGGAAGAATGTATCAAGCCTCTCACACCCGCCAAAAGCACGGGAAAGCTCAGACTCTAGCAGGTCATCGAAGATGAAGGAGTCTGAGATTATGAACAAGCCTCCTGCTTTAGCTTGTCTAAGGAGCTCTGCAACTATGGATGGAAGGCACACCTATTCTCAAAACAGAATTGGTAGCAAAGCTTATTATGCATTTGATACTTTGGAACAGTTCCAAATAACAGATGGGTTCAGAGTGTGAATAACTCACCATCAATGGGTTTAGTTTGTGCATTAAAATTGACTCCAATGGTATAAGCTGGGACCGAAAGTGAGGAACATCTAGGATAGATCTCATCCGGAAGCAGAGCACATACATTATCGCCTGTATTCACAGAACAGAATCAAACATCAATGTTATATGATTGTACAATTTTGCAACAGGGAGGAGCTTGTGCTTGAAAGCTATCATATACCTGGCATCCGGAGTAGAAAATCTGATGTGCTTCAGGCCTGATATCATCATTGCAAGTTCTGCAGTAATCCGCACACTCATCCACCAACCTAAAAATTTTTAGACACAGCAGAATCAATCAATGTTGCAACAAACTGAAGCTCCTTCAATCAGATCAAACATTTGTGTTTGAGGTAACATGTATTAGCAATCGCTTCTAACCTTTTCAACATGCTAGCCACAATGGAAACAGGCAAAAACTTTCCACGAGCCAAGTAGCTAGCTAGATAGGCCACCGCACTCATCCTGTTGTAAGAAATGGGGAGAATTAAATCACAACCAAGTTGTCATTAGAGCAATAACAAGAGATGACTGAGAAAAATTTGACCATGAAGGACAAGGTGAAACTTGCCTAGTAGTCCGAGGCTTGTTGCTGGAGAGGAAAATGTCCATCAGCTTACTTGCAAATTTCACACCACAATTTTCAGGATCCAGTGAACATGCATGGAACATCAGAAACTGCAGATGAAAGTAAAAATGAGCCGAAACCGATACATCTCATGCAAACCGTAAACAGAGTTGCTAGAGTCTAAAATGATAAACAAGTGATAGCTATGTGGCCTACCTGGGTAAATTTTGATTTGTATGTATTCAGAATGTAGTTCTCGAATGACACGAAGAGGTTCTCAAACACCTAGCAAAAGCATTCAAAACAGATCAGCAACGAAGATTCATGGGTGCATGATTCAGGAAAGCATAAATATGTCAATTGAGGCCCAATCTAGTGCCATACCTGATCCAAACGACCAGCATTTTGACAAGATTCAAGATGATCAAAAGCTGTGACCATCAATTTGTCCAACAGCTCAGAAACTATATTTTCACCTGACGTATCCTCCTTTAGAGAACCCACTGGAAGCTGCAATAGATATATCAAAAAGTTCAAACTCTCATAGTACAACAGAAGGAAGTCCTCCACTAACTTGTAATCTATCAACGTTTGACAGTGCCAAAAGAGAACATGTATTAATCGAAACAAACACTAAGCCAACCTCGTCTCCTTCATCCATAGTGCCTTCAGCTGGATCTTCAAGTTCCATATCAAACATGCCTCTACTAGGGTCATCTTGTGGAATATCATCCCATCCAATCTCCAGCTAAAAGGATACACCAGCATAATCATTATTAACTTTCCACATTACTTCACGGCGTTATGTCTATAAAACATATTCTTTACTTACATCCAAATCTCGCAGCCTCTCCATCACCATCATAAGAATCATGCTGCCACTAACTTGCCCGATTGAGCTATTCTCCAACTTTAATAAGTTTTCCACATATATCACAACCGACTGCAAGACGGTAAGTTAGCGTCTACTGAGTTTGTCGCCACTATGAGCTTACCATTTACCAAAAAAGAAAGACTCACCTGGTCCTTTTTCTGTATTTTGGGCATTTTATGGGCGAGCATGGGCAACAATCTTGAGGGAGCAAGAGGAACCAGAACAGAGATTTTCAGAAGCGCTGCATGAACCCGAGAAAGAACCTCTCTCTTCGTGTTGATTATACGGGGTTCCGAGTGTCCTTTTATTACAAAAGGCGGTGGAAGGAAGTTGCTTACAAGCATATTCAGACACGAGTCCAGATACTTTCCACTAGTGGCAGCCTGTGATTGAGAAGAAAAAAAATAATGGTCAAGCCAATTTGACTGAATAATAATAGTCAGCATGAAGGTAAACGTTGAGTGGTGTACCAGTGATATGATTAGGCCAACCAATGCATCCATGACAGCCTCTCTCTGGTCCCACAATTTCATTCCAAAAATCTGAAAACATGAAAAGCTTTTAATGGTGAATGATATATCTATGCAAGCTAAAAAGGTGGGGAGATATATCTTAAACCTAGTTTAATTGGAAGTAACAGTAAGCTAACTTACCGCAGAAAGAATCTTTCGATGGTGAATGATATCAATGCAAGCCACAGAGCCTGATAAAGCCTTCAAGACTGACTGCCAAACCAAAGAAAATGCAAACACTTTAGCAAAAAAAAAAAAGAGAGAAAACTGATTGTCGCACTCCTACAGGGAATAGGACACAAACCGCAAGCTGTGCCACTGCGTCAGAATCAGAAAATCTATTGACGTGCATAACTCCAACAAGCTCATCGTAACTATCTGATTCCCCCTGACATAAGGAATAAGCAACAATCAAGAAAGCATATGACAAAATATAGCACAAGGAAAGAAGTAAAAATAAACTCACAGTTTGGACAGATGCAAGAGCATTTCTCACGGTATGCACCACAGCCGTGTCAGAATCAAAATCGTTGGCCATATAGTCCATCTGGTATAGACTTGATGGATCAGTTACAGCCTCTGATGCTCCCATTCTCTGTGAAGTTTAATGTAAACTGGTGCTGCTACTTCAATTTGACCAAGAGTGTCTTTATTTTTCACCTACTCAGGAGTAAAAACATTCTATCAAAAATGCAACACTTGAGCTGTTTAAAATCCAGAGTCAAAACAGAAGGACATATCTTTCTCTTTTATCTTTTTAACCCAATGCAGTGGAACAAGAAAAGAGCCAAACTTTCATAGTGGAAACAATCGAATTCGAATCTAGAACCCGAAAACCAAATTGCTAAACCAAACCCAGAAGAGAATTCGTCAGATTACAGAAGCTTAAATCCTCGAAAGAAAAACCTAAAATCTCCGTTGATTAAAGCTCATACAACAGAAAACAAACACAATTACACAATAATTAAAGGGTAATCAAACTCACAAGGATAAGTAATTGAAGTAGCTTTGCCTTCACCTTGAAAAATGCTTCACCGACTTCACAGAGAGAGCGAGAGGGAGGAGGCAGGGGAAGAGAAGAAACCCTTATAACTGCACTCCTCTATTTACGAAAAGACCCCTCTGTCTCGTATTTCTTATATTTGCTCATCTAATCCTTGTACTTTTAAGACTCTATATTTCGGCATTGAATATTTAATCGAGGCACGAAAAAGCCTTTAATGGCAAAGATATCTCAGCTCTCGACACGGCTCAATGGGCTAAGAGTGAGGCCGAGGTTTGGAAGATGTCACAAGTAGTGTCGTCAAAGGTAGACAGCTATGACATACCCAATAATATTCCATCTCAAACTGGCGTGGAACAAATTTGGCCCCAATGTCACACCGATGCGCATGCGTTATGGGAGAAAACATACAGACTCGTTGGATTAGGCTTCCACCTGGTAAATGCGGATGGATCATGCTTATATGGAGCACAGACGTCACACAATGTACAGTCAGTGACGCATGCGGAGCTGGATGATATCACTTGGGCAATGGAAAATGCAAGCGACATAGGACATACCTCCATACATCTGTTATCTCCAAGTGTTTGAAAATGATAAAAGAAGAGGAGGAATGCTAGGATTTACAGCAGAATTAGAAGAGTTTCATCGTCTAAAACATGCTTTCATTCGTTTTGAAATTTTGTGTATCCCTCGTTCAAATAATATTCGTGCGGACTTATTGGCCAAAGAAGAACGATCACGTGGGATTTTATTTTCCTTTATAAACTTGTTGTCGCCGAATAGTCCGCCTCTTGAGGCGGTACTTAATTAAGAATTTTGCTTTTGCTGAAAAAAAAAAAAATAAATAAAAAATCTAGTGTATCTAATATATTTGAGTCACCACGTTCGCTTTTTAACAAATTACTGAATTACCTTTAATTACCTTTAATGAACTTTCTTTTATAATATTTTCATACTAATATTGTCCCTTAAAACCGAACACACCCGCTAGACATCCCCCCGCCCTTTTTCCCCCCACCCGTTTTTTCCCCGTATTTTTCCGCTTCCTCTCTCGCCATTTCTTTTGCCTTTTCGATCAACTGAGCATCTTGATCCCTGATGTCCTGCGCTTGTTGAAGAAGCTCATATGTCACCTGGTCGTGGCATGCGGCTTTTAGGTAGAGTTTATCGGCATCTGCTACTCAACGATCTTGTTCGTGTCCTGGCGGGAGAGTGGATGCTTTCGCCATCAAATCGTCAGCCTTACCACGAGCTCCGTTCCCAAGATTCTTTTCGTCTTCCGCCTTCCTTTCTAATTTGTGTGCATCAGACAAGGAGGGTGTGTTTTTCCTCAATAACATGCTGAAGTAAAACTCATCTTTGACTACTGGCTTAGAAGAAAATGTCCGTTTAAAAAGCTTACGACCAAGATTGACTACCTTCTGGATTGTAGTCGAGCTTCCGTGTGGCCGGATGGGAGCCGAGTCGTAGGTTCCAGCACCTCTGTTAAGCTTGTCCAGCTTGGACTGAAATTTTGTCCAAGAAATTATTGTGAATTTCAATCTTGCAAAATAATGAGGTTTAGAGTTAGAAGACATACCTTGTGTGTTGAAAAGTGAATAATGGAAGAAGAGCAAGTAAATCCAAGTTTAGAGTTATGAACAGTAAAAGTTTTGAAATCAAAGCTTTTAGAGCTCCTCTAATGGAGTTTAGGGTTTTGGAGAAGAAAGAGAGGTTCTTGTTCTTTAAGGGAAAGGTAAAGTTATAAGTTCAAATCCAATTATAAATCCTTTTCAAATTCGAATTTGGTTTGAAAGTTGGTTTAATTGGTTAAAACCGGTTTGAATTAATGAAAAGGGGACTTACCTTGGCCGAGAGATTTGGGCCGATGGCAGTTTTCGTCGATCGTGCGATTTGGTCGGCCAAAGTTCTCGGTCGAACGAAATCGGCCGAGGGAGCGTTTGCTTCCCGGATCGACCGGTACGGTCGGTCCGTTCCGATATTTCTCGGCCGATGCGGCCTGTTCTCTTCCTGTCGTGCGTGCCTCGGACGTTGTCGCGGTAGTATCATCCGGCCGAGCATGGCCATTCCTTCCCGGCTCGACCGGTACGGTCGGCCGGTTGGAATTTTCTCGGCCAAATTTTTGCGCGTCCGCGGCCAATGTTTTCGCGGATTGTGTTTTCACACCTTTTTCTCCTTCTATCCTATCTTAAAACAAAGAAAACACAAAAGCAAAACAAAAACTAAGAAATTAAAGAAAGAAAAGTAAAAGTACCTCATGGGTTGCCTCCCATGCAGCGCTTGTTTTAAGTCTTTAGCTTGACTGTAAGGCTTGGCTCAGGAGAAGATGGAGACAGAGGCATCCTTGATCCTCCAAGTCTTTTCTCCTTGCAATGAGTATCTGGTGGGTGATTCACAGCTGGATAGACAATCTCTCCATGAATGTCCCTTGGCACAATGCCTTAGGAAAAAGTTGTAGAGTTCTTGTCAACTTTCTCCTTGAATCCTTCTAGATTCTCATCAATAAGCTCCTTTGGGAATAGAAGCTTCATGTTGCGGCCAGATAGGCTTTCTACCTTCCTTCTTGGCTTGGCCTCATCTTCAATCTTGGATGATCCCTTGGGCGGTTTTGGTGTAGGGGCCTTAGTCTTACTCCTTGCTTGTTTGGCAAGCTGCTTGGGCTTAGGAATGGGATCTTCCTTGATTGTCTTCAGTTTCTCCTTCTTGGGGTGGCTTCAAAGTAGCTTTCTCCTCTTGGACCATGTCAACAAAAGAGTTCTTTGTTGAACACATAGGGAAGAACATACCCTTGTTCACCTTGTTGAAAGAGATTCTTTGATTGGGGAAATCAAATATGGCACCCACAGTAGACAGGAAAGGGGTTCCAAATATGAGAGGTCTATGGCTACTCTCTCTCATTTCCACAATCTGGAAATCGTAGGGATAGAGCAATTTCCAATCTGCACCATCACATTAGGCACAAAGCCATAGGGGTTTGTGAGAATGAATCAGCATAGTTGATGGAGATGGATGATGGCTCTATCTTGGTGAGGCCTATCTTGTCAGCTATCCTCTTAGACATGATGTTCACATTGGCTCCTGTGTCACACAAAGATTGCTCAAGAATGTTACCTTTGATGATACAAGGCACAACAAACTTTCCTGAGTTATCAGTCTTGGGGATAATCTTTGGGAAGAGTCTTCTCTTTCTAGCTCGATTGGACTCTCTCTCTGGGTAATTCTCTTCAGGCCAAATCATGCAATCAACAGTAGGTTTTGAAAGCATCCATTCTGGAACTTGGTCTTCAAATCTTTCTTCTATGGCGGCTGAGTTGCAAAAGGACTTCTTGGATTCAGCTTCCTGTCTCTTAACAGCTTCCATAGTTTGGTGACTTGAGTCTCTAGTTTCTTCACATGAGTGGCAACAGCATCATACTTGGTGTTGAGATTGCTGAACAAAGTGTCCATCTTCTCATACATCTCTTTGTATTCTCTTTTCTGGCCATCCATGATCTGTTGGAGGATTCCTTCAAATCTTCCACCTTGTTGGTTTGGAGGAGCTTGATTTGGTGAAGAAGCATATGGCTCCTTGGGCGGATATGATGTTCTGCTCATCATACCTTGCCTTGGCTGAAATTGACTTCCTTGAGATTGGTAAGGAGGTCTTTGTTGTTGTGGATACCTTGGAGGATACACTTGGTCTTGAGGATTCTCCACATTGGGGTTTCTATAAGACATGTTGGGGTTTGGGCGATAGCTTGGATTGTATCCCTTGTTCCCATAGTTTCCAATGTAGTTCACATCTTCTTCATTGGCTTCATTAGAGAAATCTCCCATGCATTCTCTTGATGGGTCTTCATTAGCATCACTCATCCCTTCTATTGCATTGATATGCTTGAGCTGTCCCTTAAGAACTTGAGCCATCATGTTCTTGAGTTCAGTCATTTGAAAAGAATCAGGGGAGCTAGTAGTGGTGCGGCTTGAGCGGTCATAATCAGGACAATTGTTACAATCACTAGCTGCAAGATTCTCAATAAGAACCTTAGCTTCATCAACAGTCTTGGTCATGAAGTTTCCATTGCTTGCAGTATCCAATGAAAGCTTGTACTTGTGGTCTATGCCACGATAGAAGATGTTCCATAGGTTTCCCTCATTGAAACCATGATTAGGGCAGTCCCTAATGTACTCCTTGAATCGGTCTAGCGCCTCATAGAAAGATTCATTGTTGGCTTGGCGAAAGTTGGAGATCTTGTTCCTACAGAAACTGATCTTTGTTTGGTGTAGAAGTGGTTGATGAAAGCGGCCTTGTACTCATCCCAAGTGGTGATGGAGTGACAATGCCTACCAGCTTGACTTGCAAGGTAAGTATAATGTGAGTCCCAATTTTGATGTTTCATTTTGATGTTTCTCAACACCACCATTGCTGGATTCAATTGGAAGCTTCACTCTAGTTCTTCACTTCCCTTTACGAGATTCTTGAATCGATTTCCCTTTATTCCTCTTTTGTGATTTCAAATATTTACTTGCAAAAATAAAAAAACGGCGACATTGTGAATTTAGGGATTATTGGGGTTAATATCCAGTTAAACTAGGTCGGTTTTGCGGTTTTCGGGTATTAACCTGGTTGGATTCGTCAATACTTCAAGTTTGCTTTGGTTCTAATGTCTTTCACTTGATTTTTTATTTTAAAAAATGGAAAATAAATTAATTTGTAAGTTGTGGCATATGGACAACCGGTTCTCTGATTTGTTGCAAATTAGCAATTAATTCTAAAAGCAAAGAACATGGTTTGATTTAAGTGAATATGATCCGTGTCCCAAAACCAAGAAATTCGGGTGGGCTATTCGATTAAAACCAAAATTGACCCTCATTAAACCTGTTGTCGAACATATTTTCTTTATAATTAGATTGGTTTTTTGTTCGAAAAACTCCATATACTTCTTGATTAATAATAAAGAGATACTCTATCAAAATATGATAACCGTTAGATCAAAAAATTGAAATATAATGCATTAACTAGACATATTTTTTATGGTAAAAGAAAAAAAGAAATAAATAAATAACAATAACAGAATGCATACCTTAGCTTATGTCCGCGGATGGGGTCGTCGGTGACACCATGGACTAGTGGATAGATTTTCTGTGAAATGTTTGGACGAGTCAGGTCTCGTTTTATTGGAATTGTTCCCGGGAGACATTTATGGTTATATATAGGAATATAATTAGGAGTATAATTACGAGTAATTAAGCTATAAGCATTAAACTATATGTATAATTTTTTTTGTATGAGTCAGGTCCCGTCTCGTACCACACTTGTCATGGTTATATATAAAAGTATAATTAAACTATAAGCATTTGCAAAAAATATGTCAAAAAAAAATCATTTACAAAAGCATTCTAATAACTAGGATTTTGCTTATGTTTTTCTTATATTTTGCTTATGTTTATGTTTTGTTTATATTTTTCTTATATTTTGCGAATTATTTTTATATAAATAAATGAATTAAAGATTTTTGAAACGGTTAAAACCGAATTCTTTTGGAGAATGAACAGTAATGTTGGCTAGTATTCAACCGGCTTAAGAACGTCATGGTCAACATAGATGCCCAGATCCTACAAATTTTTTTATTTATTGGTTAGAAACATTTAGTATTTAAAAATTAAAACAATACAAACAAATTCTTACCTTTCAAAATTTTGATTGTCATATCGACATGGAGTCCTATAGCTCCTTCATCAAAACAAACCTACTGGTCTGTATAAACGGTCTACATCGGAGGTTATAACAGCCAGTCTCATTGTAAGCGTTTGTCCATATATAACTGGTAAAACAAAGGATTAATTTGCTCAATAATCATATTGAGCACCTAAATTAAGAATATAGCCATAGTGAATTCATAATTTAGAGAATGACAATGGCCCACCTCCATTTGACATCTTACCTCTTGGATTTAATGCTAAATAACTATAATGCCATTCAATATCATTCTCTCATTAATCTTACTCCATTTTATTTTCTTGTATTAGCTATTACTTAAAATCCATAGTCATTTAAGAAAAAACAGATTAAATTCATAGTCTTATACAACAAAATCAGATTTTTTTTTTTCTGAATTAACATGTTTTGTTTTTTCTTAAACGAATTAAAATTAGGTAACTTAAAGTTTATTAATGTTAATGAACAAATAATGGACACTATACTATATTATTCAATAGTATAGTATACTATTAACTAAACAAAAAAAAGAAAAAAAAAGAAAAAACACCCTAAACCAAAAATCTAAACCTTAAATCTAAACAACTAAACTCAAAACCTAAATATATAAGTTAAAACCCACAATATAAACCCAAAATCAAAAAAAAAAAAAACTAAAATTTAAACCCTAAATCCAAAAATCTAAACCCTAAACCCAAAAAACTAAACACTAAACTCAAATTCTAAACCTTAAACCTAAAAAAATAAACCCTAAACCCAAATATATAACCCTAATTCCAAAATTTTAAACTCCAAAACAAAAAACTAAACCCTAATTCAGACAAAAAATCATAATCATAAAATGTATACCCTAAATCCTAACCCCCAAAAAAAGAGAAAATAGTTTAGACAACACATATTTTTTCTTTGATTTAAGTCAAGGCTAATTTGGGTAATATTGTAGAAAATATTGATTGTATCCTAACCAAGCCAACCATAAGGCTATTAACTTAATTATGGAACTCAATATGATTATTGAGTGCAATATCCCTAAAACAAATTGAAATTAAAAAAATCAAAATTTAAAGTGAAAATAAAAGTAAATTAAAGCAAATCGTACCGTCCAATAGATGAAGAATCTAGGTTGGTTATCACCATAACCCTGGATAAACATATACAGTAAGATAATCAAAATTTTATTTATTAAATTGATTTAGCAATAAATTATTATCGTTTAGTGTTTTGATTAAAAAATAATTACCTGCTAGCCGGCCTCGATATTGTTAAGGTCACAGATTACGTAGAAACCCAATGTGAGCCAGATCTGACCAAGACTGAACTTGCCAAACCTTTATATGTGTGGATTCCCCACGTTCATCATCCCTTGTGTGTCATAGATGTTTGATCAGTTTTCATTTTCCATTAAAGCCAACCAAATGCGTACTATATGTTCAAAAAATACCAAAGTTATAAACAGATCATATTCTAACAAAAAAAGTTTCATATTCTAACAAGAAAAGGAAAAATGCATATTTACTATGTTTTTCGTCTTACTAAGCCTTATATAATAACTTATAACTTTTAAATTTTAAATATGTGATTCCACCTTTTTTACTTTTTCTAATTTAGAAGATAAAAAATATGTCTTTAGAAATCAATGGAAATTATTTGGCTCTAAATTGAAATTATTGTCTTACTGTATAGTGATATTCGAAAGTGATAAACTAGATATCCTAAGAAAATAATATTTATTATCACATAAACTTTCGTAAATTGATTTAAAAATCTTAAAATAAACGCGTATACGCATGGCCTTATCTAGGATAAAAAATTATAATATAGCTGATTTCAAATTGGAAACTCCACAAATTTAAGTAATAAAGTCGATTTTAGTAGCTAAATTTGAAAGTGTATATAAAAATTAGATTAGGTCCCGCATATACACAGGTTTGATAGTTAAATATTTTTATGATTCAACAAAAAGGTACAGAAAATTAAAAAAGAACATCATATCACTTTTGAAAATAAGTAAAATAAAACTAAGACCCCGACAAGAAATTGTTTAGTAAAATAAAATAAGAATCAATTTAATTGTTTAATCATGCTTGACATTTTTTCAAATCAACAATATGAAAAAAAAATGAATTATTATTTCTTTTCCTTTCATCTTTATCTAGTTTATGGAAACAAATAACATGCTATCAAATAATTAATTCATGAAACTTTCATGAATTGATTATATTCCTCTTTGAGTAAAATATGCTCTTTTTAAGTCACTTATGACTATTTTTCGGAATCGATATACATATATAAGTATACATGTTCCTTTAAAAAATATATTTTACATGTAGCGGGAATTGAACCCGCGTCTTCTCCTGTCCGGGACTCGAACCCAATACTAGTCATGAATATAAGGACATTCTCCAGCTGATGACACCTCAGCATCCTCTGAGTGTACCACATCATTTCTTTTTTTTTACCGTACCTAACAACAAAACGATGTCGTTATGCTTTTCCTTCATAGTGAAACCAAAACAAAGTCGTTTTCTATTTAGGTTTAATATAATTTTATTTCCAGCCAGTTCCTTCTTCTCCACCTCTCCACCGATATCGTCCTGCTGGCGAAATCCACACCGTCCATTCCTTGCTCTGTCCGGACTGTCCGAATCCCTGCCTCCGTCGTTTCACATTTCCATGTCCTTAACTAAAACCGTTGGTTACGACTCTTCCGTTATGATTCCCCTACTCTCTTTGATTTATGTAGATTCATTTCATCATCTTTTTCCTTCATCTCCTGGTGCCTACCATCTGTTCGACCTAATGTCTCAGAGATGTTCAAGTGTGCTTCTTTCCATCGAACACTTTATAAAGGATCCTTTGAATGTAACCATGAAACTCAGACACAGGGGATTCAAAATCGAAGCAACAGCTTCTCAGATTCCTGTTCTTTACAACACCCTCTTGTATCCTTCCAAGAACATCCATCTTGCTTACAAGAAAAAATCAAGTATGCTCCTTTTTAATTTCTTCTTTCTTAGTCTCATGAGTGATGAACAAAAACATTAAAACATTCTATAAAGTCGATACATGGAAATTCATGGAGTAATTCTATTATTCACTCGGATCAATTGTAGCCACGAAAAAAATTTGAATTCACTGTGATGAAGATGCAACAGTGCTTTGATAAATAGGCGCCGTCGTCACCAGATCTATTTCGGATGTTCATCCACAAGAGTCAACACAGACATAGAATCGCTTTGTTGCCGTGTGTGTAAATTCCTGGGTTATAAATCAGATTTGGGGGTTATTCAAATTGAAGCTGACTCAACTCTAGTCTGTTAAGTTTGTCATGAAACATGTGTTTTGGTGAATTGGAGACTTATCTCTAGATGGAGTTAGTCGGTTGTTTCTGTACAGCATACATGTTAAGTGTTTGTGGATCCAAATGGACAATATAGTGTGGATATTAATTAGAAATATGGATGCTCATCCATTACTTTGATTGAATATATCCATATAGATGTTTGTGGATCCGAAGAATTAGTTATTGATGGACATAAGCAAAAGACAATTAACAGAGACAATAAAAAGGATTGATTATTTACTAAAGCAGAGACAAGGTAATAGAGATGGTGATTTGCTCTTGCTTATCTTCAATCTGTTAGATTGACAATAAAATTTGTGTACATCCTTTTTTTTTATCTTTAATCATCTTATAAGATCCTAACTATCTAATTTACCACACACGTATGACTTCACTTCACTTTGTATTTTGTCATTGAAGCATGAAATCAACACACTAACATCCCTTGTGTTGCTCCAGGAGTTGACACATAGGATTTTCCAAAGTTTCCTGTATTGACAACTCAGTAAAACTCTTTAGCCAATCAAAACATTCTAAATAATACCAGTCAGCTTTTTAATTAACCACGTCAGTCAGTCTTTCTCTTTGAAACCGGAATCTGTCTCATTCTCGCTAATTCTCCTCTTCGCATTCCCAAGCCCAATGCCAAACTTTCTTTTGAATCCAATAATCCTAAGAAGACAAACGCTAAATCCAAAGTTGTAGAAGAATTCATTAGATGCAGAGGATTAAGAATGAAATCATCCATGTCCAATTCCAAACATATCTCATCCCTCTCTTCCTCTTCACTCCGACCAAATTTACATCGATTAGCTATTTGTCTTCTTCTATCTCAGCTTCTGAGCCGCTTAAACCAAATTGCTCTTCTTCGTTGCAATTTTTTTTTCTCGATGATTCTCCATAACTAAACTTCAATCTGTATTGGATCTCAAGTGCTTCGTCCACGTTTTTCGACAAAGAGTGGAATGTGACTGCGGAATTTAAAATCAGCCACGATGCGTCTGTCGAAAGGAGAGAAGAAGACGCGAAATCAGACGAGGAAGAAGACCCAGAAACAAAAGATTGTCGGAGTTGCTTCAAATCAGGTAGTAACACAGTCATTCATCTCCTGCAATGTTATATCAAATCCCATATTTTGCCTTTGTTACGGGTTGCTTTCTTTATGTCGATTGTGTTGATGATGATATAATCAAAGTACTTTTTCCTGTTTGTGGTTATCTGGGTTTCCGTTGATTTTCAGTATTCTATTTGGTGTTTTAGAAAATGTTTGTGTTGATAAGTTCTGTTAGGATTTAGAGGCTCAAAGTCGCCACCTTTAAGAGCTTAAACCCCAATACACCAAGATATGAAGTAGTTTGGTTTGTCTTGAAAACAGAGAGAGATAGAGAAAACAGAGCAAAGAGATAGTTTGAGAGAAAGAGAGAAGGAGAAGAATGGGAGCACACACACAATTTAACCAGTTCACGCCCATTAACGAGGGTAGCTACGTTTGGCCGAGACTATGCTCGGAATCCACTAGAAGGGGAACATAGATACAAGTGTTACACTCATCATCACTCATGAACACTCTTTTGTATCTACCTATGTTCTACAAGAGAGATTGATAAAAGCTTATGCCTTTAACAATGGCTTTCTCTCTTCTTCTTCCATTTGTGTGCTCTACCTCTCTCTCATGTCTTCAGCATCACTTTTATAGTGGAGACAGCTCTAGACCTAAAGCAACTCGCCCAACACCAAAATAGCTTACTTATGTGTTTACTTTTTCCCGTCTTGAGGCAGACTTTCCGTTTTAATCCACAACAAGACAAAAGCAAGTGGCTCCTCCTTGTGGTCCCAAAAGTAACTCAACCCAAGATTAACTCACCAAAGTAATCATAGTTAAGTCTTGAGTTACTTGACTTGGTTGAACAACAAGTTCTCATCTTCACAAATCTCCACCTGAGAACATGATGATCAAGCCAAACGACCTGCACACACTTGAGAGAGAGAGAGAGAGAGCTACTTCTAGCTTCTTGGATTCCAGTCTCGGTTCCTGAGTATCATAACTCAGCCTTGATCCTTATTGCATTAACATTTCGTTCAATGCACTTCAGCTTTTACAATTAACCACGCTGAACCTGAGCCATCTTCAGTTCACTAAAGTTGTGAAAACCAGCTTCAATACCAACGTGTATTGAGCTCAACTCTTCAGTGAACACTTCCTAATGTATTCAACTCTTGAATATCTTGTAGAACTGCCCAGAAAATTCCCTTAACAAGTAAGAACAACCACCAACTTGTTAACTCAACAAAAAACTCCATAAGCTTCACCACTTATGACTCCTTTAGTCACACAGGATCCTTTATGGCTTATGTCAAAACCGTAGACCTGTTTCAGTGACTGAAACACCAAAATAACACCTCTGCAAAACCTGATTCCCTTGCTAGCTTCTAGGATTTACTCATGCGCATTGAGATCAAAATCCTTGAATTCACTTGAACCCTATGCAGAAAAAACAGAATCGTATTAGCCTCTAACCTGAAGCTCTTTGATTCAGCCTGTAGCCAATCTCACCAACAGCTTACACCATTTGAGATTCACCTCAATAACCTGTTTAAACAAGCAATCTCAGAACAAAACCCATGTTCAATCATCTTGTTAAAACAGAACACACTAGCAGCTTGAAAACCCACTACTAGCAACCTTTATCATGTCTCTTATCAACAAAACCCTTGTGATATCCCTGAGACACGTCCTTACAGCAACTTTCACATCAACTATAGAACCTTTGATATCTCCTTCAGCTGTAATAACAACCTGCACTACTTCTTCTTGTATGCAGTCTCCACCAAAACGAATTTGGCTCTTGCATCATTCAATTTGCATTCTTTAGTCAAGGCCTTCTTCTTCTTTAAGATCATTCACTTGACTGACCTGCAATTGACTTCCCTGAGTAGATACTTACGTAATCTCCTCATGATGCAGCAAAACAACTTTGAACTTCTTAGTTGTTTTCTTCTAAATGCAGCTTGATTTCTCTGCATTTTCAACCTTTCTAGGACTCCTCTTTTTCAGAATCTGACACTAGCTTTGAGATGAGTTGTTTGTCAAGCTAGATACACAACACCTTCACATTCTTGAAGTAAGCAGCCTTGAGACAAATCATGCATCACTTGCCTTGTCTCCTTTGGATTCTTCTTTAGAAAACCCATTGCATTTACTTCAGTAGCTCCATCTCAAAACAGCCTTGTGCCCTCTTTCTGAAACTTCCAGAAACCTGCAGCTCTGTTATGGAAAAACCTGCAGTTCGTTCCTGAGAATAACACCCAGCTTCAAACCAAATCTGTATGCAATCTCTTACCATCAGATTATAACCCATTTGAACTGAATAGCCATTGAGAACCTCCTGTTCTTGACTTGCTTTCTTCTTAGCACTCTGAACATTCATGAATCAGATACAAAACTTAGTTACACATCCCTTTAACTCTTCATTTTTTTTTCCCAGCTAAACACCTGAGACAACCTCCAAGTATAGCTCCACCAGGAATAGAAAAAATGTCCGTCAGGATATGCATTGCTCTTCTTGTAGCAACAATACTCCACCTAAAACTATAACCACATGGATATACTCTGTCTCTTTTAGCTTCTTCACCAATCAGAGTTAAACAAACCACTCTTCATTGTATCTTTAATCCACTCCACGTTCTCATGTATCATAATGAGTTACCATAGCTTCTCACTTGAGAAAGTGTGTCAACACTGTGAGACACAGGCTTCTTTCTTCCGCAGCTACCTCAACTGATCCACGTGCAATCAGAAAACCACTTAGAACATTTCCCTTTTGCAGCAGCCTTATCTTGTCTTTACATGGAGCTTTACTCATGATGATACAACTTATATTGATACACCATCATAACCACTGCCTCAAACCCAAAGATCATAATCTTGTACTCTTCTGCAACAAAACCAGAACCTTGTACCGCCGTTTATAGAAACAGAACACGCCGACTAACACCCGTGGTTAGGAAGACTTTCGACACAAGATCATAGTATAGCTCAATGCACAATAACATTTAGAGACCTTCCCTCATATGACATGAAACTCCAATGCCATTATACCATCAGATTCTTCTAAAACTTGAAGATTTGACGTGATACAAGATCATCTTTAGCAAGACATTGCTCCACCTGAGACAAACACTCCTTGTTTTCACAGATTCACTCCATTAGAGAACCCATGTGTTACACACAACACAAACCTGCGTAGAACAGAATCTTTGCTACTGCCACCTTTTCAAGAGCTTACACTTCTTGAAACAAGAACTCAAACACTTTCCAGCATACACTCAAGCTCACTAGAGCACAACATTCATTGCATCCCTCTGAAAATAGCAATGAACTGAGTGTTACACTTGTGTCCCAACAGAACATTTCAGACAGCAACAAAGCTCAATCTTCATAGTTAAGTCTTGAGTTACTTGACTTGGTTGAACAACAAGTTCTCATCTTCACAAATCTCCACCTGAGAACATGATGATCAAGCCAAACGACCTACACACACTGGAGAGAGAGAGAGAGAGCTCCTTCTAGCTTCTTGGATTCCAGTCTCGGTTCCTGAGTATCATAACTCAGCCTTGATCCTTATTGCATTAACATTTCGTTCAATGCACTTCAGCTTTTACAATTAACCACGCTGAACCTGAGCCATCTTCAGTTCACTAAAGTTGTGAAAACCAGCTTCAATACCAACGTGTATTAAGCTCAACTCTTCAGTGAACACTTCCTAATGTATTCAACTCTTGAATATCTTGTAGAACTGCCCAGAAAATTCCCTTAACAAGTAAGAACAACCACCAACTTGTTAACTCAACAAAAAACTCCATAAGCTTCACCACTTATGACTCCTTTAGTCACACAGGATCCTTTATGGCTTCTGTCAAAACCGTAGACCTGTTTCAGTGACTGAAACACCAAAATAACACCTCTGCAAAACCTTCACAAGTTTTCATCTTCACAAGTTCATCATAAAATTGTCATGAAACTTCTTCGTTGCCAATAATACAGAAATGATAGGCTCATCTTTCTTTGATTCTTAAACTTCTTGATCAATCTCCTCATCTGCAACTCAATCCTAATTGTATTGTATGTTTCATGAAATTGCCAAAGAGAAGGTTTAATTAATTATTCATTGCAAATCATTTCTCCCACTTGCATTATCTTCCTTGATCTACCGAGTTTTTAAAATCTCTTTTGTAACCAGGGTAACCAAGCATTCAAAGAGAAACAATGGCAGAAATCTATTGGTTTATACTCAGAAGCTATAAAGCTAAGTGACAACATTGCTACTTATTACAGTAATGATTCTTAAAAATTGGAAGGTAAATGTTACTCAGATCCTAAAAACCAGTTTTCCTGTGAGGTCTTTCTGTGTGATATCGCCTAAACAAATCCTATACATACAGCATTCTTCAAGCCGAAGAAAACTGTACCAAAACTATCACTCTCGACAAGAAGGTACTTTTCTTTCTTTAAACACAGAAGCAAGTTTCGCTTGTAAGAGCATTCTTGTTCTTGAATCTCAACAACAACAACAAAAAATATTTGTTTTTACAGAATTTTAATTCTTATTAACGAAAAGGAACGGTAAGAGAAATGTTAGGCTATTACAAGGAAGCTATAGACGGTAGCTAGCCAAGTATCATTATGCTAAACCAGATTCCACCTCAACCGATTTGATATTAATTAGCCATAGACGGTAAGCTAATCGTTCTATCAAGACTCCACCTGTATATGAAGACTCCACCCATGCCCAATTTCTACAAAGAGCCAAAAGGTACCACTGATGTAACAGAAGGTACAGCTGGTCCTGTTGTGACAAAACCAAAAGACTCATCATCATCTACACTGAAGAAATCCAGTCTGAGCCAAAACCTGTTAAAACTAAAGAGAAGTTAGGGAAAGCCAAAGAAAGGAAAAAGGACGGGAAGAAAGAAGAAGCAGAGAAAAGAACAGAAGAACAAAAGGCTACGTGTCTGCTAAACCCGAAGAGAAGAAAGAAGCAGATAAAAGAGGAGAGGAAAATAAGACTTCTTCCGTGGCTGCTAAATCCGAGCAGTAGAAATGAACTCCAACAACATTCAAATGAAGGCTGAGATTATGGTAAGTGAAGTTGCAGTGGGAAGAGAGCCTTTGGCAATGATCTATAATGTATGCTCCTTCTTCTTTTTCTTCTTTAAAAGAGTTGTTGTATTGATTAATGTTTGTTGCATTGCGTTTACTTTAAGATTACTCTTCACTCCAAGTATTTTTAAACTTATATATGTTACGAAGATGGAATATGAGTGAATTTGAACAGTAGCACAATTATTAGTTGTGTAAAATATTGATGTCAAAGAAAGCTGGAATCACCTGTCATTGAAAAAACCCATAGTTTAATTAGGAAATTGACAGAAAATCGACTTCTCCATACAACTAATTGAATAGCCGATCAACTTTTACAATAAATCAAATAACAGCCATACAATTCATGGGACGAATGAAGAAAGAATACAGATGCGGAATAAACTAATCAAGCACCGCAGTATTAAGCCTAATAAACTAACGGAAATGAAGAGAAAACTGATCTCCTTCGGTCAGGAAATTAGTCAGTTTCTCCGTGTATTCTAGGCCAACCGCAAAAATAGATCGGATACACCCGTAAGACGCAATTTTTTTTTAAATGATACTGTTAAGCTATGGTCTTATATTCAGATTAGGATAAGGATTCAAGAGACTCCGTGTTAGCTTAGGATTCCTAAACTGGTTTGGTTTTATGTTTCCTAGTTTAGTTGGCTTTGTAAGTCCTTGATTATAAAAGGACAAGTCATTAGGTCTCTTAGAATCATCACAAAAACTATTACGTTGTATTTTCTCTTCCACAAGCATCTCTGTTTCTGAGAGCTTGTTCTTCTTTGTTCTAGTGAATATTGTTGGATTGAGATCTGGTCCAGTGAGTAGTTGATCATATCGATCACGAAACACTGGGAAAACAATTCTCTTGTCTTCATTACTTTCCTGCAATTGCTTTACGTTTGAGAGAGAGAGAGCTTGAGAGTTCTTGAGAGTGAGTGCTCTGTTTTATTCACAGTCTTGAATCAGATTTCGATATTATTTCTCAACAAGTGGTATCAGAGCGAAGGTTGTTTTGATTCAAGATGTCGAATCAGAAGACACGACCAGAGGTCGCATGCTTCGACGGCAGCGGAGATTTCTCGATGTGGAAGATCAGAATGATGGCTCACTTTGGAGTTGCAGGTTTGAAAGATGTGATTCTAAGTGATGATTTCGGGATGTCTGTTGATGAAGTCAAAACAGAGATTCAGCAAACAGAAGCAGGTCCTGTCGAGGTTAAGGTTTCAGAATCAAAGTTAGTTCCTGATCCGGTGAAACTCGAGAAGGATGAAAGAGCGAAAGATATGATCATCGTGAACATTAGTGACTTTGTGCTTAGGAAAATTGAGCACTGCACTACAGCAGCGTCTCAGTGGGCTCTCCTAGATAGACTGTACATGTCTAAGTCTTTACCAAATCGAATATTTCTCCAGTCTCAGTTTTACACTTTCAAGTGTGATGCATCAAAAGCGACTGATGTTAATGTTGACGATTTTCTCAAGATTGTGGCTGAGATGGGAAGTTTAGATGTGAACGTGTCTGATGAGATCCAAGCCATAGTTTTCCTGAATGCTCTCCCTGCAAGCTTTGACCAGCTAAAGCATACCCTTAAGTATGGTAAGGAGTCACTATGCTTGGAAGAAGTAATCTCTGCATCTAGGTCTCGGGAAAGAGAAATTTCAGAAAGCAACAAAGGAGCTGCTACTGTGTTGTACACGAATGAAAGGGGAAGGTCAAGTAAGAGAGAATCGAATGATTCCCGGAAGAACAACAGTCGCAGCAGGTCAAAGAATAGGAAGGTCACTTGCTGGTATTGCAAGAAAGAAGATCATGTGAAGAAGGATTGTTTTCTGAGAAAGAAAAGAATGGGAAGTGACGACGAAGGAGAAGTTGCAGTAGCTTTGGAAGAGCTGAATGTAACAGAAGATGACTCAAAAGAGAATTGGGTTATTGATTCAGGCTGCACACACCACATGACTTCAAGGAGAGATTGGTTTGTGGATTTTACAGAGAAAGGGTCAAGCAAGATTCTCCTTGGTGATTTTCATACAGTGGAAACACTTGGTATGGGTACAATCAGGATTAATACTCGAGGAGGTACAGTTAAGCTGATGCACAATGTGAGGTATGTTCCTACTCTCTGTAGGAATCTCATATCAACGGGAACTCTAGACAAGCTTGGTTTCGTTCATACTGGTGGAAACGGGAAGATACAGTTTCACAAAAATAACAAGCTTTCTCTACAAGGAACTCTGAGGAATAGTCTCTACATCCTAGATGGAGAAACAGTTACAGAAGAGCTGTGTAACAGTGAGACTAAGGTTCAAGTTCCTCTTTGGCATAGCAGATTGGGTCACATGAGTTACAAGAATCTGCAGGTCCTAGTTAGAGGTGGAGTTCTAAAGCAGAAAGAGATTGGTAAAGAAATCTTTTGTGAGCATTGTGTGATGGGTAAATCGAAGAAGGTCAGCTTTGCATCAGGAAAGCATAACTCAAATCATGTCTTGGAGTATGTACATGCAGATCTTTGGGGATCGCCTAATGTGCAAATCTCATTGTCAGGAAATCAGCATTTTTTTTCAATAATCAATGATCACTCAAGGAAGGTTTGGATCTGGTTTCTCAAAACTAAAGATGAGACGTTTTCTAAGTTTTGTGAATGGAAGAACCTTGTGGAGAATCAGGTGGATAGAAAGGTGAAGTATCTAAGGACTGACAATGGCTTAGAGTTCTGTAATAATGCCTTTGATGAGTTCTGCAGGGAGAATGGTATTACGAGGCATAGAACATGCACTTATACTCCCCAGCAAAATGGAGTTGTTGAGAGAATGAATAGAACTATCATGGAGAAAGTTAGATGCTTATTGAGTGAGTCTGGTTTGAAAGAAGCGTTTTGGGCTGATGCTGCGGCAACGTCGGTGTATATTATCAATAGATCACCGTCATCTACAATTGGTTTCAAGTGTCCTGAAGAAATTTGGTTGGGAAAGCAACCAGGATACAAGCACATGAAGAAGTTCGGTTCTGTAGCTTATGTGCATATTGATCAAGGAAAGCTGAAACCACGAGCTGTCAAAGGAATATTTATTGGTTATCCTACTGGTACAAAGGGATACAAAGTATGGCTGCTCGAAGGCGGGAAGTACGTGGTAAGCAGAAACGTGAAGTTTCATGAAGAAAAAGTTTACAAGGACTTAGCTCAAGAAAAAACAGAGGTTCCAGCTGACAAGAATGCATCTACGTCTGTCATAAAACCAGTAGATGCAGAGAAAACTCAAGGAGACTTATCTCAGGATAAAGGAGATTCAAATCTAGGTGGAGTTACTCATGATCTATCAAGCGACAGTGAAGATGATAATGATGATGATAATGATGAGTCTTCTTCAGAGACAAGAGAGACAACAAACACAAGTTTGTCTAACTATCAAGTCGCAAGAGACAGACCAAGAAGGTTAAAAGTACGTCATGCGAGATATAACGACTATGATTGCTCTGAAGAAGAGATAGCTTTTGCTTTGTGTATGTCAGAATTGATGAACATTGAAGAACCTCGAGATTACAATGAAGCAAAAGAAAGCAGAGAATGGCTTAAATGGAGTTCTGCAGCTGATGAAGAGATGGATTCTTTGCTCAAGAATAAAACTTGGATTTTGGTGGATAAGCCTAAAGACAGAAAGATCATCAGCGACAGATGGCTATTTAGGTTAAAATCTGGTATTGAAGGAGTTGAGCCAGAAAGGTACAAGGCTCGCCTTGTTGCAAGAGGATTCTCACAAAAGGAGGGAATTGATTATCAGGAAGTTTTTTCTCCCGTAGTGAAGCATGTGTCTATAAGAGTCTTGCTAACATTGGTGGTAAACTTAGATTTGGAGCTTGAGCAGATGGACGTAAAGACGGCGTTTCTACATGGAAACCTTGAAGAGGATTTATACATGTACCAACCTGAAGGTTATGTGGATGAAAAGCAGAGAGATAAAGTATGTTTGCTCAAGAAATCATTATATGGGTTGAAGCAATCCCCAAGGCAATGGAACAAGCGGTTTGATGAGTTCATGAAGACACAAGACTTTACGAGAAGTAAGCATGATCAGTGTGTTTACACTAAAGAGATTTCACATGAGAACTACATATATCTTCTATTATATGTAGATGACATGTTGTTGGCTGCAAGAGACATGTCTGATATTGTGAATCTTAAGAAGCAATTGAGTTCGACTTTTGAGATGAAGGATTTGGGAGCTGCCAGAAGAATATTGGGAATGGAAATTATTCGGGACAGAGTTAATGGCACATTACGACTTTCTCAGTCAAGTTACTTGAAGAAAGTGATAGAGAATTTTAGAATGACGGATTCTAAGAGTTCTCAAACTCCCATTGGTGCACATTTCAAGTTGTCATTGGTTACAGAAGATGAAGAATGCATTGATACTGAGGTAACTCCTTATTCTTCTGCAGTTGGAAGCATAATGTATGCTATGATAGGTTCTAGACCGGACTTAGCTTATGGTATTGGTTTAGTTAGTCGGTTTATGAGCAGACCTGGTAGTATACATTGGGAAGCTGTGAAGTGGTTGCTTAGATACATCAAAGGTTCATTAGATGTTGAGCTCCTCTACACTAAAGATAAGAATCTGGATATACAAGGCTATTGTGATTCAGATTATGCTGCTGATTTGGATAAGAGAAGGTCTATCTCTGGATATGTTTTTACGGTTGGAGGTAATGTCGTGAGTTGGAAGTCAAACTTACAGCGTGTGGCGGCTTTGTCAACGACAGAAGCTGAGTATATCGCATTGACGGAAGCTGTGAAAGAAGGAATATGGCTTAGGGGGTTACTTCAAGACTTTGGGTTCAAGCAAGAAGCGTGAAAGTCTGGTGTGACTCGCAGAGTGCGATTTGTCTTTCAAAGAATAATGTGTTTCACGAACGCACAAAGCACATTGCTGTGAAGTACTACTTCATCCGTGACATGATCGATGATGGCGAAGTTGAAGTATTGAAGATACACACAAGTCGGAACCCTGCTGACATTTTGACAAAGGTGGTTCCGGTGGGTAAGTTTAAATCCGCATTAGACTTACTCAAAGTCACTCGAGCTTGAAAAAGCCTTGTGACTTGCCAGGTGGTGTAGATCCAGAAGGAGATATTCACGGTAGAGATACAAAGATGGAAGGTTAATGGAAGATGAGAAGATAATCTGATATTAGCCCAAGGTGGAGATTGTTAAGCTATGGTCTTATATTCAGATTAGGATAAGGATTCAAGAGACTCCGTGTTAGCTTAGGATTCCTAAACTGGTTTGGTTTTATGTTTCCTAGTTTAGTTGGCTTTGTAAGTCCTTGGTTATAAAAGGACAAGTCATTAGGTCTCTTAGAATCATCACAAAAACTATTACGTTGTATTTTCTCTTCCACAAGCATCTCTGTTTCTGAGAGCTTGTTCTTCTTTGTTCTAGTGAATATTGCTGGATTGAGATCTGGTCCAGTGAGTAGTTGATCATATCGATCACGAAACACTGGGAAAACAATTCTTTTGTCTTCATTACTTTCCTGCACTTGCTTTACGTTTGAGAGAGAGAGAGCTTGAGAGTTCTTGAGAGTGAGTGCTCTGTTTTATTCACAGTCTTGAATCAGATTTCGATATTATTTCTCAACAGATACATTAAATGGGCTTATACGACAAAAACAAAACAAACTACATCAAGCAACAGGCCCAACTGATTTATTTCATATATATTTAACAAATAAATAAAAATAAAACAAATTGGAAAAAAAAATTATATCAACCGCGGCGTAGCGCGGGTCTAACACTAGTATATAATAATAGTTTGAGCTTTTTAAAATCGTTGTGATGGTTCCTAGTGTTGAACTTATGTAAAACAATTCACGACAAGAGACTTAAAAAATAGCATGTTCTTTTTTTCACTTTCCTTGATACAACCATAATAATGGTAGAAATCACACACTTTGTTATCATTATCATCTGGTGTTGGCTGGTGTTGTTAGAGGAGAAATTAGCACATTTCCCTGAGCCCGTCATCATTAGTAAAGTCACAAAGCCCAATCCGATTTTAGGCCTAACATCTTCAAGAAAAAGGCAAGACTTGAAGAGAAAGGCACAATCCATGGAGAAATGTAAATAAATCTTCATGCCGACTTAAAGAATGGAAAAGATCCAAAAACAAGAGGAAGTTTTCCATATCGCAAAAGAGGAAGTTTTCCATCTCGCCTGAAGGAGAATATTCATCATTCGGCCGACTTATCAACTATATATTGAAGACCCCCCCATTGGGGAGATCATCCGAAATCATCTAGAATCACTAGGCTTTCACATTAGCTTTTACTCTATCCTCTTGTTCATCACCATAATCTCGCTAGGCTTGTTAGCGAGATTGCTCTCTTGTAACTTCTTGATAATCTAAGAGTCGAATTAAGCGTTCCAGTTTCCTAAACTCACATCTTAGATAGCCCGTCTTGACGAGTGCTATCTCGGATCTAACAAGTGTTACAATTGCGATTTCCTGGGGTTTGTCACGAAACAGATCCTGTTTTTGGTGGATTCCAAAAGTATCGGTGGTTTCTGTATCTAAGAGTTGTCTTGTATCCAAATGGACAGTAAAATGTGGATATAGATTAAAGATATCCAAAAGGCATCCATTAATTTGATTGAAGCTATCCATATAAGTAGATGGTTATGGATCTGAAGTAGTTATTATGGATATGGGTATACAAAGTTAGCAAAGAGACATGGAAGATGATTATATACAAAAACTGAGGAGCAAGATAAGTAGCAAAGGTGATTTGCTCTTGTTTTTTTTTTTTTTTTTTTTTGGTGAGTGTTGTGGACTCGTAGTATCGGCCCCGTGACCACGGAGGAGGCAGACAGATGAAAGTATTTAATCCAAATTAGACAATCCGCATGGAGATTACTTAAATAGACAATCTAGTTATAAAGCTAAACTTGAGAAGTAATGAATAATTTTTGGGCATTCTCAACCATCAAAACTTTGGAAAGTATGATCAAGATCGTATCCGGGGGACTTAAGATCCTTGTCTGAACAAGAGTTGGTTGATTGTGACACTTCATACAACTATGGTTACTCACAGAATTTGCATTTGAGTTCGTCATCAACAATGATGCAATTGTGACCAAAACATTGTTAATAAGCTAGTTTTTGCTTTGATTAGGAAGTACATATGATTCTTAATAATTTTTAAATATGATTCTTATATCACATTTTGAATGGGTTTCTTGTTACGTAAAAACGTTCAAGTTGTCACAATCGGTTTATATGAGGATTGTACAAACTATATGTGTACCAAATTTAAAAATCAAAAGAACCATTCAAATCATTAAAAAAAATCTTAGCTCGTATCATAAAGCTTCAATTGCCAAATTATTCTGCAAAAGTCGTCCATCTTATATTAATCTGATAAAAAAAGGATATAAGACTAAAAAATAACAAAAAATGTTTTGATATCCACATAAGCACGTCCACGCAGGGGCGGATGTACGTGAGGAGGTAGGGGGTCAGCTGACCCCTACTACTTTGATAAATTAAAAAATTTACATGTATTTGTATTGTGTTTAATGGCTTATTTAGTTTAAATGTTATCATTTGACCCCCTTATCCCAAGTTCAACTCTTCTCTCCATACATTTATTTTAATATATGACCCTGGTACAATATAATCCTAGCTCCGCCCCTACTAGCTCCGCCCCTACGTCCACGAACACACATTCTACCAAACGTATCTAAACCCATGAAAAGTCACCGCATCCAAGCCATTAGGCAGCGTGAGGAGGTCATTCTCTGCAGCATCATCAAAGGTATGTTTTGATCTTTGTAAAGTGTATCCACACAAACATGTCCATAGACACGTATCCACCTCAACGGATACAAACCCATGAAGATTCGCTTTCTTCCACTAGGAATCTTTTTCGTGTGGACACCTCCATAAGGACACATTATGGTGGATACAAAACCTGCATGCAACTATGGAATTTGCTAGTCATAAGGTAAATGGATAAATTCGCATGGATAGGAACATGTACACGATATATATATATTGTGGGATGAACTAAATAGGAGTGTGGATAGGAATATATGGACGATATATCGTGGATGAACAAAGTAAAATCGTATGCAAATGCAGGTCAAGAACGCTTGATCTCTGACATTTTGTTTCTTGTAGATGGACATGGAAAAATGTAGATGGACAAGAAAAAATGGATGAGTTTGTAGTCATGACATAAACGTATCCACATGGATATGTGGTTATGGATATCAATATGATGGACAAATGGTCATTGAGGCAACTAATTTAGGTATTTCTATAGTGAAGAAAATTGAAGGTACATATCTCAAGAAAATAAGAATCACATCATACAAATCATACAATTAACAAAGTTGAGCAGCTTAACAACAAAGCTAAAAACTTCACTCGAATATAGGATCTTTTTTGGGTTCACGAGATTAAGAACGATCGAGTCAATAGCAACATCAAATTAATCAATTTGCTTTAACCAAAGAGGGATGTCTTAACCACAGAGCTAAAAGCAACTTCTTAACTCAAAAATATAATCATATATAGATCCTAGTATCAAAGGTCACAAGGAAACACATGGACATTGTTTAATGGATTGATCAGTTTATCAAAATGTATCCAAATGAATACATATAGGTGGATCAATGCATGAATGGATGGTTGTCTATGGATAGCACTAGTTTGAAGCAAGGCAAATTCTACATGGATACAATTATCCATATAGACGTGTATATGTAAAGGTAAGTGTTGATAGATATTATTTGATCCCAGAATCATCGTAGCAGTAAACTGTATTTTAGCTATGGACATGGTAAAAATGGATGTTCATTTCTATAAGCATACATGTAGAGGTATCCATGTGAACATGTAGAATCCTTAACGAAACAGTTGAATCAAAAAGGAAAAGGTACCTTCCATAGCAACGGCAGAGGGTTCATGTGGGACAGATTTGGTCAATTTCCGTCAAAACTTTGTAACTAGAAATGGCATGGACTGTTAAAATAGTGAAGAACGTTGTTTAGTTGAGAAGTTGACAAAATTGATGGGATATATTTGAAAAAAAGTTAGACAATCGGTTTATACTGTAAAGTATAAATTGTGAACACCTACATTTCAATTTAAGCTTGTTATATTAGTTGCTGTCTTTTTAATTTATTTTTTGTTCTTTTTATTGACTGTTCTCCTACTTATTTTCATTTTCTAGAATAAGTGTTAAAGGTATTTTCCTTAATTCTATTTTTATTATGTCTTCAAAGAAAATGATATTTTCACCATGATTTATTTTTATCTTTTTTTAGTTTGATTTATAAAAGAAATAGACAATCGTTTTTATACAGTAAAGTATAAATAGTAAACACCTACAATTGAATTTCAAAAATGTTAGTAAACTTGTTAATTAGTAGACACTAGTATTTTGTTTTGCAGTTCATTTAAATATTTTAGTCTTTAGAGTTTAATTTGTGTGATACTGTTAGATATGTAAATTTAAATAATATTTTTATATAGTTTAATTATCATTTGTGTTATTTATATGTGTGCATTTTTATAATTTATTAAGTTTCAAAAATATATGTATAATATTTTAATTATGTAAATTTAATAGTATTTATTATTTGAAATTTGTATCCCATACAAAATCAGATACAAAATAGTTTTCTGGATCCGCCACTAATCAATCCAACCAGAGTCTTTTCAGTTAAGTTTTCAGTCCAGTTCATTCCCATCTCAAATCTAGTACTCACTCAGTAAATGTAATACAAATAAGTGAAGAGGGGCAAATCAATTTGATTCAACTTTATATTATCAATGGAGAATCAAACCCACACTCAACGAATTAAAAAGTCCTCCCTTTACAACCTTTTCTTTTGTTCCTTTTCTAATTTTTGAAAAAGCAAAAGATAATACGAAAAAAATGGGATTAGAAAGAAAAAAAAAAGCCATCCCAAATTACCAGAAAATACAAAAGAAAACTCATTTCCAACTAATTACAACCCCGAATCCTATTATTTAGATATTAAAATGAAAAAAAAAAAAAAAAAAAAAAAAAGTTTGAAACCCACAACTAAAATTAAATATTAAAAAAGAAAAGAAAAGAAAAGAAGGAAATTCCGAGTTAGCAACACGTCAAAACTCGGCCGAGTTAACGCGCGATCCTTCACCGTCTCCACCGAGTCGATGCCGGCTTCGAGTTACAGTGCTGGAGTTAAGCAACTCTTCCCAGTCAATCTCCTCATTTTCCGGCGAAGAATCTTCCGTTTTAGCTCTCATCACTTCCAAAACTCGTCTCGCCTTCTGCTTCGCTCTCTCTCTCCCACTCCTCTCCACTTTCATCAGCTCCTCCACCGCATTTGCCGCCATAGCCAATCCTTTAAATATCATACCTCCGTCGTGGCTCAGTCCATACAACACCGCCACACAGCTCTCCCGAGTCGACTCGGTAACCTCTCTCGGTCCTCTCAAAATACCAACCATACATTCAACTGCACCCGAGTCAAGCAAAGCGGGTCGACTCACCGGACACGAAGCCATATTACAGAGAATCAGCAAAACTCGACCCGTCGTTTGACCTAATCTTGCCATGTTTAGAAGCATCTGAACAGCTCCGAGCTTAACGAGCTTTCCTCGGTTGCTCTGTACAAGAGAGAGATGATACAGAGCCAGAGCCGAGTCATGCCGAGTCAACTCAGTCCCGACTCGAATCAAATGAAGCAACGGCTCTAACGCTCCGAGAACTCCAATCGCCGTCTTGTTCTCGTCTTCCAGAGCTAAACTAAAGATCGCTCCGGCCGAATGTTCCTGCGCTTCCAATGAACCGCATTTCAGAACGTCGATCAACGGCGGGACGATTCCTGACCGTACGATCTTCACCTTGTTGGATTTCTCCAGCGATAGATTCACCAGAACCGCCGTGGCGTTTACCTGAACCGTCGCATATCTCGAGACGATTAGTGACCGTAGAGAGGAGATTAGCCTCGCCGTACACAGATTGATTCTTGAAGCTTCGTCGATCCTCGTGACGCGTCTGATCGAAATCAGCGCTTCTTCGATCTCCGAGATTCGATTGCTCGTTAGCTTTATGAGTAAAGCTTCTTCTTCTGGGCTAGGGTTTGGTTCTAACGAATCGATTTCTGCAGATGAAGGTGAGGAGAAGCAACTAGGCCGAGTCGCTAGCTGTAGTGTACGGCTTGAGGAGGCTATTGACTCGTCGGAGCTCGAATTGAAGTAATTCGGTCTCCGGTCGAGCTCCGTCGCAGCGTGGTCGAGTCTCACCGACGGTTTGTCTCTGATCGCTTGGATAAGCTCCTTCTCGGAAACGGAAACTTTCCGGCTCGTTCTATGTGTTTTCTCCATTATCGCGAAAACGAGCTTCTCCGCGGCGGCATAATCAAGCGGCTTCGGCGGAGGAAAAGACCGGCGGTCACACCAGCTGCGAATTGCGGATTTCAGCGCGAGATTCGGTATGACGGCGGAGAAATCCGGCGGTGAGTTTGGGAATAGGGAATCTGGAGTAAACCCTAGGGTTTTGGAAGCGATTACGCAAGCTCTTTCGTAGGAGTGGCCTGAAGAGACGATGATTGGGTCAGCCATTAAAGAACCAGAGATCGGACAGAGAAACTCCGCCGGGATCTCTATTTTCGACGGAGAATTGTTGTTGGATTGCGAAGAAGAAGAAGTAGATCGAGATAAAGAGATTCTCCATTTCGATTTACCGACGAGAGAATCTCGTCGGAAAGTGTTGTCGTGTTGTGAGTGGAGAACCATGAGCTCGATGACTGGTCGTTGAATCACCATTAAAGATTGAACTTTTCAGACTGACGAAAGTAGAAATGTTGTTGAAGAAGAAGAAGACCCATGAGACCTAAAGATTAGATTTTTTCTTGTGGAAGAGAGAGAGAGAGAGAGAGAGAGAGAGAGAGATTGACAAAACAGCAAAGAGAGATTTTGGGAGGGAGATTTTGTTGCTTGCTGTTGTTAAACTGTTGAGTGTGGACTTGGTCATGAAGTATCATTATTATGGTCATGTTTTTTTTCTGAAAAAAATAAATCATAGGTACGTATAAAAATCGAAGATTTAAATTTTAGCAGGTAAAAGTGAAGATACGTCCTTTGTGAGAGTTATTGATTGGAGAATTGTGTTTGCTTTGGGATTTTTGTGATTCACATGTGTTTTTTCAACTGTTTTGTTTTGTACATAGATGATGTTTTTTTTTTTGGCATTTATGTAAATCACTTATTAATAAAACTATAGGTTTTGGTGGATTTTGCAACCTTTAGATAGTATTTTACATAATTGTTACTATAGTTTATACATTAAAAGCATTTGAAATATTCAATAATATTGGCAATTAAATAATGAGGTCTAAGCAAAAAATGTTACTATTTTAGTAATATTGATGTTATGTAATTTAAAAAAAAAAATAGTGTGTACGCCATTAAACAAATATAGTAAGCTACCTTCTCTTCTCCTCCATGTTTTCATTTGGCAAATAGTGATATGTTTGATAAATGTCTAGATAAACCCCCTGATATCGGTTACTTATTAAAAAGAAATTGAATCATCTTCAGTTTCATATGGTGACATGGCATTATTGACAAACTATAAATTTAAGAGGTTAATGATATGTTAGCGTGTGTAAGATGAGCATGCTTAAAAGTTATATAAGGCTTAGTTAATTTTCCATGTTGAGGCAATTATGCATGTTTGCTTTATGCAAAAAAAACACTATTAACCAAGAACAATACTGTCGTTTTCAGCTTTATGAATGTTCAAAAAGTAAAAACTTTTTGCTTTTCATATCTGCTTGTTTTCTTGTTGCAGGACTTTGATATCAAAATGTTTACATTTTATATAGACTAGTTAAAGTTTTTCTATCTTTATAAACAGGATTAATAAGTCTACTTTTTCTCACTCCGGTAAGTTAAAGATATGACTAGTCTAAATCGTCTTGCTTATAAGTGGCCTTTGACCCAGCAATCTCAGAATTTAGATAGCTTTCTAACGATTCTAAAAATCTCAGAAATTAGATTTTTTAAAAACATATATTAATTTACAGTAGGCTTAAAGCTTACCATTCTTAAAGCTTACCATTATTTGGTTGTCAACAAAGCTTGCCACTTTCATAATTGGAAATTTCTGCTTTGTTTTTATTGCATGGGAATCAAAAATGAATGATAACATAAAAGGAGAAGGCGTATAACAAGTTAACATTTATAATTGTATTCTTTGTTGCTAAGGATTCCAGAGAGGTCTACGTATAGGTAGTGTATACGTATTATGTATACATACATATGTATGGGTGGGTATAAATGATGAGATAGACACCATCTTTAGACTTTGAGGAGTGGTTTTAGGCTGTTTGTTTCAATTTTTGCTTACCTTTTTTTTGACTTTTGCTAAAGATGTTTAGATTTCTTTGTGCCTATTTTCTCCAATAAAATAAAGCACGATGGAGAGACTCATTGTGTTTACATTAAAAAAGTTGTGTCCCAACAAAAGAAATTTGCACTTACATCAAAGATCTTCAAATTGGTATTTTACGTCAACAAAAAACAATTTTTTTGTTAAAAATCAACAAAAAATACCAAATACAAACGGAAAATTACCTAAAAAAACAAATTCAATAACTTTTTCGTTGATTAAAAAAGACTCCATATTTATTTATAATCACCAAAATAAAAACCCTTAGGCCACATTGATGATGTCTATAATTATCGTAAATAGAGAGTAACGTATGTTCGTTTCATACTAGTAAACGGCTAAAAAGCAAGAGAAATTTTATGAAATACATTTTTTGAGGTGCAAAATTTCAAAACTATACCTATAGTGTGGAAATTTTCAAAAATACACTTTTTCTAATTTTAATATATATGTTTGGATTCACTAATCCTAGATTAGGATTTAGATTTTGGGGTTTAGGTTTAGATTTAAGGATCCTAGATTAGGGTTTAGATTTTGGGGTTTAGGTTTAGATTTAAGGGTTCAATGTTAGTTTTTTAGGTTTTAGATTTAGATTTTAGAGTTATTTTACTCAATGAAAAAATTGTACTTTTGAAAATAGATACTATAAAGATGTATTTTTTTTAAAATTGGCATCTTAACATATAGTTTTGAAATTTCCCCAAAAAACAATTGTTTGACAAAAAGAAAAACATTACATAAATAGGATAAATGATGCCTAGGCCAAGAAACATATATTGTCTTGCTTATATATAAACAAATTACGTTAAAAACAAAATATTCCAAAGAATTAGCCCCCAAAAAAAAGGTTTAAAGAAAGAGAATCTCGTTAAGCAGATTATAAAAAAGGGACTCCATTAGTAATAGTTTGCAAAAAACACATCTCATGAAAAATTATTGAAGATTTCAGTGTAAAGACAGATCCTTTTTATATCCTTGTAATCATTTGCAAAAACAAGATCACACTAAAGTATACATCTGAGACGGAAACAGTTGTACAGAAGAAGGAAGAAGAAGATGCTCGGATATCAATGTACAAGCTGGCATTGGTGAGACATCATATCTCTCTGAAACCAGTTCTCACATGTTAGCAGTGGTTTCTTTGATTTCATCTGATGTGATAGTCTGCACGAGTCCAAGAAGAAAAAAGCAATCAGTAATTAACTCAAACAGAAACTCGAGCTTCGAGCTTGGTTATTAGGGAAAGTGTATTGATTTGAAGTTTACCTGATCCTTCCCAGCGAAATCATTGTCAGGAGTTAAGAAAAGCATACAATGACACTCCTTCCTGATGAACAAAAGATCAATACTATAGTCAAAATACATAATAACTCCCCTACCCAAAACAAGTCCTAAACACTAATGAAATCTTCAATTTCCTGTGCACCAGAATTTGATCCAAAGATTGCGTAGGAAAACAGTTTACGAGAGAGCTTAACCTTGATACAATAAGGAGCATCTGTATGCTCAACGGAAAAGCATAACGAGCATATGATGCTAAATACTATCCGACTAGTAACTAGAAACAAGATGGAGACAGGACCTTATATGCTTAGTTTTAACCTACGTAAACACACAAAATGCTTATGCAGCCACATTGGAGCTACTTCTTACCTCTCTCTCATTGGAACACATGGACAATTCCAAAAGCCCTGTCCAACCTCAGCAGCTTTGTCATCATAATGTCTACACAAGCAACAAGGATCAAACTTTGGGTTGATGCAAGAATTTCAAATAATTAGAAAAAACAACCAAACGATATCTTGGAAGGAAAGATCACCTGCAAGGGCAAAGCGGTGCACCATATGAATCTTTATGCTCAGCCAATCCCTGTTCCCAAAAGAAAGCCACACAGTTAAGGACTTAAATCTCCGGACGTTCACATGCATTGAACTCAGATGTTCACTCTACAGACTCATTATCTACAAGCAGAAGAAAACTCAGCCCCTTCATTAGAAGTAGAACTCAGATGTTCACTAATATCAACTTCATTCCTTCTACAGACTCAGCCACTTGATTAGTTAAAAACACTATATATCTCAACATGTTCAAGTCAATTGCTTCTGCAGACTCATAGTCTACTACAGTTACAAGATTCAATTTTTCTCCAAATAGTTCGCAATCAACCCAGAAATATGAAAACTTTAAACGAAAATTCCAGCTGAAATTTCAAGATAAACAAAACAAAGCCGTTCATTTGATACCTTGATGACGACTGAGGTAACGCCTTTATCAACACAGAAGTAAGTCCCTGAGCGACGAGCATATTGCTCGGAGAATTTCCTCATGATCTCCACTGATTTCTCCGATGGTTCCGCTGCAATTCAATACAAAGAAAAATTGAATTCGAACCACCCAAATCTCATTTGAACACGAAGAAGAATAAATACGAAGATTTGAGAACTTATTTACATTTCGCTCGGATTACAAATCGCCGAAACGAAGTTCTTGGAGAGACAAGTGGAACCGAAACGAGGCCGAAGCTACAAGAAACCGCTTGAAGATTCATCGGAGGAGTTGGGTCTTTACAGATTGAGAAACGAAATCGAGGAGGATTTCAATCGACGAAGCGATTCTTGAATTTCCGATTGGATATCTTTTGGAGTTTTGGATCGATTTTTTTCAGATTTTGTTGTGTTCGTTTTCCACAGAAACTAATGCTCGCCACTCACTTCACCTTTGGCCAAAAACCTCTGAGCTCAACAGAGACTCTCGACCATTGATAAATCTCCACCCTTTAACCAGAAAAAAACATATTTTCTTTTTGACATAACCGGAAAAAAACAATTAAAGAACCAGATTTGGAGATTCGGTTAACCATAGTTTACTTATTGCTGAAGATTATATGATTGCCATGTTCTTTTACAAAATAAAATTATAAAGCACTTGTTTCTGCCACGTCATCAAGGGAGCAAAACTGTGTTGTGTTTGGTTTGTCAAAAGTCAACACAGTTTCGTTAGGTGTAGAATTTCTACTAACAAGTGATCACGAACAACTTTGTCATTCCCCGATCTAAAAACTTTTCTTTTTCTATAACCCACGTGTTTGTGTATTTTACATTTTACCCAACTAACATAGCGTCCAATCAGATCTAGCATGGTCGTGGAAACTAAACATCAACTAAACAGAAGCCATATGGCTAGGAATCAAACCCGGTACTCACCGTGAGCCCATTACCACCACCACCTGGTTTGATCTAAAACTTTAACGATCATTCGTTATTACCTTATTTGTTTCTATTATGTACGGGCTATGTTCTAAATCTTGGCCTTCCAATCGATTGATCGCCCGATTGCTCGTTGAAAAGTGTGTTTTCCCTTGGAGTTAATCAAAACTCAATTTTTTTTTAAAAAAAATTCATCAGTTTATGGATTTTAAGTTCAAAATGATATTGTAGAGAATATATTTATTGTTATAAGGTAAAAACACAAGAAAAACAAGTAAAATGTTAAAAGAAATAAAAAATGGGAACAATTACGGTTTCTGCATGGGTAATTTCGTTATTTACCTTCATTAGTGGATAATACGAGAGAAATATCAAGATCACATACACCTTGAGTCAAACTTGTGACCTGTGAGTTATTAGTGACAAGGTGAACAACTAAATTAGACTACATCTTCATGTTTACTATGCATATTACCAGTAAATATAACTTATTTAAAATAAAAATATAAAATAAAATCTTCAATTTATTTCCGATTTTTGTAAAATTGCTATTTCCGGACCGAGCACCCGAGTAGTGCGTCCAACGAGATTTAGAACCCAATGTACGGGTGATCAGATTGTTTGTATACAGAAAAGGGCAGGTAGCTCGTGCTAATTTTTCATGTTTGCATATTCTTTTTTTTTCTGAGACGGTAGTCTTTATTCAATTGTGGTCTTTATCTAATTTTATGGAGATTATAGGTCCCACATTTATATCCTCTATTAAAGGAGAAACATTGAAGAATTTTTTTTACTGATGTGTCACTCCCACAATTTTTCTTAACTTTTTGATTTTTGATTTATTTAATTCAAAATGTTCTTCATAGGATCATTACTTAAAATAAATATATTATCTACCAACAAACCTAAAATATATTTCATAAAATAAAATAATGAATACATCAAATAAGAAAATTAATAGATATTAGATGATTTATAAAATTTAAGAAACAGTTTTTCACATAACTTGAAAATTCAAAATATATAAGGATAGCTATAAATAAGAAAAAATTAACATGTTTAAAATAAGAAATGAAACAACATATATTCTCTAAAAGTTACAAATTAACAAGGATATAAAAAAATATAAGTTTCTTTGTAACTGTATATAATATTTTTGAAAAAAGATTTATAATAGACATACAAAAAAATCATTTTTCAATGATAAATACACATGACAAATTTTAGGATGTCATGCAGTTAAGAAAAACATATCTTATGTTAAAAATAGTGTTACAAACTCAAATCATTATGCATAAAGATGAACAAAAACATATATAGCTCCAAAATAGGTTGATAATCAATATACTATAATGTATTATATGTGAATCACAAAATGTTGCAAGTACAAAGACATGATATGAAAATTCTAAAATGGAAACTCTAAAAGTTGCAAGTACAAAGACTCGAAACGGCAAAGAGTTTGGCTCAAAAAGAATATGAGGTGGTGTTTGAATGTGGTTAAGAGGCGAACATGACTTGAGATGATGATAATAAGAACTTTGACGAGTTCTTAGAAAATCACAAGGTCAATAATGATTAGAGATAGTTCTAATTTCACTAAACAACAGTTTTTTGTAATAGAAATATTATAACTATTCATGCAAATAATAACAAATCATAAAAATAATTCTTGAAGCTTTGGAAAGATTAGAACTAAAACATTTACAATAAACACAACAGCAACATCTATTACAAAACTTCAGTACACAAAACAACAAAGAAAAAAAAATCAGAAACATATTTTTTAAAATATATAAATGAAACCCGCACTTGCGGAGGTGGTATAATTTCTAGTTTATGTAATAATACACTTAACCGTTGATTATGTTATGATCTTTGGATCCTTCCCTGTAAAACAATATCTTTACACAAGCATTTTATATAGAGATCATTTATATTGTTAAACCAACGTTATAGCCGGCAATTAGAACCCAAGATAAGTTATACACGGTGGTCTGAGAATACAAAACTTAATTCCGATTATAAGCACACAAGTGTCATCCTCCGATAGCTACCTAAAAGATGGACCAACCGACTTTTCTTAGCTGCCTTGTCGGATTTTGACAAAACAAAAAGAAAGATTTTATTTTTTTTACTGCCATCACAGATCATCAAGAAAACTACTCTCTCACATGCTCATCGCTCTCTTCTTCGCCTTCTTGGTTTCCGCATTATCAGAAAAAAGCGTCTTAGTGGCAAGAAAAGTTAAGAAACCAAAAGATAACAAAAGACGGAAGATTTTAAATTCGGTTTATTTTGGTTGCAAGTGATTCAGTGATTATTTGTTTGATTGCAGGGTCCCGACGACTACTGAGTCACTTCCTTGAGTAGCAACCTTCAAAAACACAAACAGTTACAATCTGACTTGTAGAAAAAAATTTCAATCAAATATCATGCAAAGATTTCAATCAAAGAATAAGAAGATCATATGAATACTGAAATGAAGGAAGATCACTGATAGTGAAAAGAGTAAACCATTGAAACAACCTTGGTAGATTATCAATGATAGTGTACCGTTCTTGTGCATCTTCCTAAATCACAATAGTAATAATATAATTAAAAAATCATAGTGAAACTTGGAAAACAGCCTAGTATGTCTAATTCCACAATATAGTGATTTCATAATGTAACCGCATCGGTTAATAGGCATGACCACGGTTACGGTTATCACGGTTAAGGTTATTTAACCACCGGTTACGGTTAGAAATTTTGTTAACCTTAACCTTAACCATTTAACATACGGTTAATACGGTTATGGTTAAATATCAATCCGGTTACGGTTACGGTTAGTTACGGTTATAATTATAATACGGTTAATATTACGGTTTATGATTAAATAAATATTATAAAAAAACAGAATAATGTAAAAATTTACACTAACATATATGAAAGAGATAAATTAAAACATAATTATAAATGTATATAAAACTTTGAAAGAAAAATGATTATTCATGTTGAGAATTATTTATTACAATAATAAAGTTTAAAAAAATATTAGTCACTGTCTTCGGATCTTACTGAAGATACATCACTATCAAAATCTTCTAACTCTTCTTCATTGTCTCGGATGTATTCTTGTTGTCTATATTGAGCTCTGGTCCAATCATCAAGACATGCTTGAGCTTCGAGAGAATCTGGACTCATTCTTGATCGAGTTTCATCTAAAATTTGACCTCCCATGCTAAAAGCCCGTTCCACAGAAACTGTAGAAACTGGTGAAGAGAAAATGTCCTTTGCTATCATAGCTAAAATGGGATAATGAGATTGATGATACTTCCACCACTGAATGACTTGAAAGTTATTACCTGCATCTGCATCACTAAACTCAAAGTTAGTAGATAAATATTTTTCAAGTTCAGAATTATTACCTTGTGATGGTCGTTGTCGTTTCTGTCTCCGCATCCTTTCTGCAAGACTTAGTGAAGATGTTGAGGACATGTCATTTTGTACAGATGATTCATCCATTTGTGGTGCCAGATGCTTATATACTCTATAATATTCATCATACAAAGTCTCTATATCTTTTTTAGAATTTGAAATAATGTTTGGAATATTAATGCTTTCAGACAAATGCAATAACTCATAATATGTAGATAAATATTCATTTAAACCATCCAATTTAGTTCTAGGATCAAAAATAGATGCAAGCAAATTAAGAGGTGGAATTTCTTTATAATATTTTAACCATTTTTCTTTCATACTCTTAATACATGATGACAAAACAATATCATGTTCATGTGCATTCATCACATCAGCAATATTAACACATTCATATAAAAGCAAATGAGCAGTAGGATAATAAACACCAGATAATAAATATGTTGCATCATTAAAACATTTTAATAATTTTAAAAGTGCAGCACATTCGTCCCAATGAGTAGGCCACAAAGTTAAAGAAATACATTTTTGTTGAATAAAACTACATAATAAATCCTTATAACCAATTGAATCTACAAGCATATCATAAGTTGAATTCCAACGGGTAGGGACATCACGAGAAAACCTTTTGGGAGATGCATTATGAGTTTTACAAAATGAAAACCATTGTTTCATTAATTGTGGATGCCCCCACAAATAATTTAAAGCATTTTTTATTGGTGCAATAATATTACTTTGAGAAACTAATAAACCATCTTGAACACATAAATTCAAAACATGACAAATACATCGAACATGAAAATACTTTCCACCTAAAATAGGATTACAATTATTTATTAATTCATCAAGTGAAGCTGTATTAGCTGATGCATTATCAAATGAAATAGAAAATATTTTGGATGTTAAATTATATTCTTCTAAA